TTTAAAAGCGAGCAATGGCAACACTCTACGAGGGAAAAATCTTTCTATCTCCAGCGCGCGGAACTGTGTATCGTAAATTCTAAAGATAGGCTCTTTTTAAACTTATTTTGCGACATTGCTGTTGAACTGAATTTCATGGTTTAAGTGAGAAGAGCATGATATTTAATAAATAAAGGTAGCCCACAAAACGTTAAAAATACGCCCCTTTGAACGTAATTTTAAATCTGAAACCTTTCATATTTTTTTTTATTATTTATTTACGTATTATTATTATTTTAAATGGGACATAGTATAAAAATCAATCTTCATAACTTACGATGTCCGAGCTATTAGCTGTTGCCTGCAATTATTCTAAGGCATCTTATAAAAACTACTTTTCGAAAACAGTTTTAAACTAATTTTAAGAAATTAACCATTAACCCTTGCATTCACTATAATATGCATGGCCTCTAGCAGAAATATCGACTTACTTTACTCTTTTGAAACATTTAGATTTTTACAAAATTCAGTTCCGTTTATCATTTTCTGACTCTCTTATCTGTAAAGAATCTGAAAGTTTTTATAATATCCTAGTCTAAAGGTTGAATGCTAGAAGTTGCATTTGCAGAAAGCGACGCTAATATATTTTCAGAAAGAGATCGAGCTGTATGTGCCTCGCAACTATCTAATTAGAAAAGTTATTTTTTATTTTTTTAATTCGCTTTTCTTTTTCAGAAATAAATAAGTAAGAATACTACTTTTTCCTTTTCGCTAAGCTAATTCGGAGGTAAATTCTCCACTCCTTTCAGATATCGACATTTTCTGCTTTTCAGTAAACAGTGCTGTCTTCTTTATTATTGGAACCATACTGCATTAATAAGACTCTAACTCATCCCTTCTGTTACTTAAAGCAACCAACCTACCAATGGCTGAGTGGTAAAGTCGCTGAGTACGGGTAGTTCAGTTCGAGGCTCGAATACCAACGAACGGGCTGACTTCACGGGCGGTTTCGTGGCTTTCCAATGCGTAAAGTATATAGGAGCCAGTTTCCCTGAGAAAGTCCTCCACAAAGGCATCCCTTTCCTTAGGCAAATAGCCCCAGACTACTTTACCAACTCAAATAAACCAAACCAAACTAAGCTTAAAAACAACCTCTATTTCATTTTTAAATATTAATGTGTACTCTGGTAATGTTCTGCAACGCGGTTAAATTTAGTCTGTTTTTTTCAAATTTCACATGGCTTGTATTCATTTAACAGCGTTCATTTAACAGTCGCGTGATGATATGCTTCTTTCTCTTCACCATGCAGTTTCTGATGAACTACGTTGAATTTCTCTTTCTCCAAATTATAAAATATCTGTCAATTAATACAAAATTCTCTCCAAGCATTTAGCGAATTAGTAAAAAAAGCTCTAGAACCAGAAATACTTTTTGATTTTATAATTTGAAATCATTCTAGAATAGCAACTTATGCGTCTTTTGATTTTCTGTCTTTTTTGGGTTTCTTTGACACACGAGCATTTATTAGTAGTTCTTCACTAATTAAAATTAACTTTTAAGTACGTTGCACAATGCTCTTATGGAAGTTTTTAGTTTAAATGTAGTTTTTCTCTCGATGAAATTACCAAGAACATTAAAAATAATTTCGAAATTTGCGTTCCTAGCCAGCAAAAAATTAACTTTCTTCTATTTAGTCGATCTGTATTTTCATACTTACAAGCAAGAGGTTCAACTTACCGGAGACCGTTTCTGTGATGAAGTTATTTTTCCCCACGTGCATCTTTTATAGAAGTGCTTTTGTTTTTATAGATGACAATGTACGGCCACATACGACTCGTGATGGTGAAAAGCTCCTAAAAAGTGAAAATATCCACAGAATAGATTGACCAGAGTATTCTTCTAAGATAAATCCAATCGAACATGAGTCGAATACTTTAGGGATACACATGACGGCCTGATCTTATCCTCCAGAGAGCACCAACTGAAACAGCTACTCCTTGAAGAATTGAAGTTCTGACCTCTAAAATTGTTAGATAATCTGGGGTTGAGTATCGATAAACGGTGCAAGGCAACCATTGAAGTTGAGAAACAGCATATCGTTTACTATGACTTTTTATTTTATTGTTTTTCCTCTTGGCCATAGTTTTTTGTACCAGAGCCATTCTGTCAATTAAGATCTTTTCTATTCATTCTGTACTATCCTGTTTCTTTTTGGATACTATACTTTCTTAGTTTTTAAGTGCTACATTGTGCCTCAGCAGTATGAATTTCATGTCACCCAAATAACGTTTTGTGAAATTATGGCCGAAATCAGAAAAGTTGCTTTAGTTTTGCTCATAAATGTAAATTCTTTTACCTCAACTAAAGAATGCAATAGGCTGCTCTGATTATGTATTTCAGAATTTTTTTTAAAAATTAAGAATGGGTAAGTAGATTAGTATTTTTCTTTTTTTAATTAGTTATATTTATTAAGATTATTTCTGTGCGGTATTGTGGTTAGTAATTTTTGTTTATTATTAAAATAGTCTTCAGTTGGTTAAAGTATGCAATTATTTGAATGAAATGGATTTTCGTGATTATCTGTGCTAATTCACCATTTAGTATGTAAGTATATATGTATATTTATTTTAAGTTTTGCCTAAGGGCTCAAAATTTCTAGCTACGACACTGGTGGAGACCAAATACTGCTATATAATGAGGTGCAAATGATTGAAAAAAGAAGAGTAGTGTTTTAGGAGTGCGCTATGTAATATGAAGATTTGAAGACATTTTAGATGAAAATTACTTAGTACTGCTAATATATTTTTACTATAATAAAAGAATTAAACACTAAAAAACAGGTACTTATTAATAATTTATTATTCGTCTTATTAATAATTTAGGATTCTTCATAATCAGCACGTCATAATATATATAATTAGCTTGGCAGTTACCGAATCTGAAAAGATCAATATCGTGTTCAATATGTTGGTATCTGTGTTCACCCTCGAAGTTTTTATGGCGTGAAAATGTCTAATACTTTTATATTTGTTATGGCAAGCCTTCCGAACATCTTCGAACAATTCCCTGCAACGGCAAAGAGCATAGTCCTTATAAGAAAATAGACTAACCCAAATGGGTTTTCTCCCTCGTCTGAGGCGTTCCCGGCTGTCACCTTGATCACATCCGGAGGCGTAGAGACGACTTGCAGAAATTCAACAGTGGTTGCCTATTGCAGCGTGTAATTGTCAAGAAAAAAAGCTGGTTGTTGTAGCGCCTCATTGCACAAATTAGAATTCTACATATTTGTATTTTTGAAATTTGAGATGATTTTTAAAATTTAGTATATTTATCAAGCAAATTAACTTCCAATAATATAAGGCTATCGCCTGTTATTTATAAAGTATTGCTGTATGATATTTTTTAGCTTTTCCTATGCTGTAAGGAAATTTGTAACTACTTCTTTTAGAAATAATATTGAAATTTGACAAAAGAAATTTCAAAAAAGCAATTTGCTCTTGCATTTTTATGTTTTGGAGTAAATAAGTAAAAATACTAAAATATTTTAAAAACGAATTTTGAAAGTTTTTTTTAAAATTCTAACTTGTGAGTTTTTTAAAATTCTAGATGAGTATTTAGCACAATTTTATAAGGAATTTTATTTAACTATCTTTATATCTTTTAATAAGCGCTAAAGTAGTGTCGCCGATAGTTTATTGCTGCCACTCGAAAAAATGACGTGGAAAATTAACGTTTCGCGTTTTTAATTAATATCTCGGCCGATAAAGTCGTACGAAATGGACGGTACGATGGATTCGGAGAATTTTTTGGAATCCGAGGATACGCGTCTCGAATTTAAACTTGGCGCCATTCCGTAGATATTCAAGAAAAAAGGATTTAGCACGTAGCCAAATCCCTCTAATAGGGAAAACTCAAGAAAGAAAGTGGAAAAAGTAGGTGAAAATTAGTTTTTGATTAATATCTTAACTAATTAAAGTCCCACGAAGATGCAAATGGTCAAAATGGCGTGCGACGACCTGCGATCCCAACGGTGTGCTTCGCAAGCCTGGAGCAGCTTTTGGAGAGATGATGTTACTTCACCCATTATATGCGGCTTAAGTGTTGTTTGTCACCGATAGTTTATGGTTGCTTGCGTAACTGTATAACCAATGGGTGAAGTTACCACGGAACATTTTTTATTTAATCAAGTGTTTAGAACAGCTGATCATATATATATATGTGTCAGTAAACCTGTATCATAATCTGATAGATTTAACTTCTTAAAATGCTACTTATAAGTGACTATATTAATACAATTTGTGAATTGATGTTACTAGTAGTTTGTCTACTTGAGCATAATATGCATAAAAAATCGAATAATAAATTTTAATATACATTGAAGTAAGAAACAAATGCGAATTTAATTTCCCTTACATGAAAACTATTCAGCTTTATTTTTAATGTATGAGATTCAGAAAATAAGTAACCATAAAATACTCTCATGCTATTGTTTTTAGCTTCATATATTGCACAAAATATTGCAAAAGAAATGTTTCTATTTCTTATTACATAATTATGAAGAGCTTAAAATTAATTATTACCCCAAATTATGAATAAAGTCTAAAATCTTCAGTTAGCTTGTTACGCTTTCTATTTTTGAGAAGTTATATGCATACAAATTCCTATACATTAATCATTACAGGTGAATAAATGCTTACATATACTTTTAGACTATAACTTATTTTTATATATGCTAATTCCAAGTCTCATTTGGGAAAAATAAAGTAAATTTTAAAGTGAAATAATATGGATTATAGCTCACATGTGTAAGCTAAAAATTCATTTTTCATAATTCTGCTGAAAATTATTATGTATTTCATTTATTGATTAAATCCGAATAGGAATCATTACCATAACTGCAGAATTATAATAATTTCAATGAACGAAAGTATTTTAAATATAAGTGAAAACAAGCAATGCATGAAAAACTCTTTATTAGGAAATATATGTACATATATATACATATATAAAAATGGAAAATATGACACTAAAATATGACAATAAAATGACATTAAAAATATGAAATGTAATGCATGTACAAAATGCAATAAATTCTTACTCAAACATATATTTAAAGAGTCCACACAAGCTCTAGGAGTGCTGACATTATACAAAAGGCTTGCCACAAAATTATAAAAATTTGTTGATGTATGTGCATATTGAACGCTAAATACAAAATTAGTTTTAAATAGAATGTCAAATGCCTTCATGGCATGATTTGGGCATGCTTTAAGTGATTTACTGCTTTAATATAGAATGAACTTGTAATACACACTATAATGGGCTGTTTATTCTGAGCTGGTCCAAGAGATTCCATGTCTTCTATTCCCTGAAAATAAATTTCTTTATTAAGAATACATCCATTACCTATCTATTAGGACAAGTCAAATACCAATGAGCCATACTAGAAAGTTTATCTTTCCAATTAAAAAATATCGCCAGAAAATTTTTTCTTCTTTCAAAAATAAGTAATTCCTAGTAATTTTATTCACATAGAGGTCTTTTGCTTTTAGTTTCTGTAAAAATGCAGTATAAATACATATAGGAATATGTAAATATTATATTGATGCAAATATAAATAGGATAGTAATGCTATCTATTTGTGCGTTGCTTCTTAATGAAAAATGTAATAAATAATGTACATAAAAATGTAAAAAGAACAAACTATATGGAGAATTAGTCTGTCTTTTCCTTATGAAAACAAGTATCATCCCTTCATAATAAACTATTGTTGTTCATAATAAACTATTGTTATTGTAAAGATGTTTGTTCTTGATTTCATGATCGCTATAGTCTGGCTGGAAGTGTATCTTTTGAATTTCACCTTGAAGCAATTTTTCCATCACTTTACAAGTTTAAAAAAAAAAAAAAAAAAAAAAAAAAATCTATGTTCACTGTATATACATGCATATATATGATTAGTGTCATGCTTTAGATTTAGATCATATAAAGGCATCACACATATTACAAACCATCTTATTCTCTCGAAATATTTGCTAGTATGTAGGTGACATTCAAATCAATGCAATTCCAATTCTACAGAAATTAGCTAAATGACCATGCATCATCTGTGGGTACAATAGTCGAAAGCAGCCTGAGAAGATGAATTTTAGCCACATGAGGCCAAATACATTCACTGTTGTAAAATGGCTATTTTAATATAATCTGCCCTCTTAAAATGAAAGTTAGTGCAAAGCATATCAAAATTCCTCAATACTTACATTTAGCAAATATTAGAAGTGCAGAATTTGGATTTTTTTTTTTTTTTTTTTTTCAAAAAACAGCCTGATGCTAAAATACTTGCTTTGCCTTTACCCTACAAAAATAAAAATAAAAGTATATATAAAAAGACATATACTGGATAAAAATTGCATGTGAAATGTAATAATTAATTGAAACTATATAAATATCACACATGAACCTTTCAAGATAGAATATGTAGCAAATTTCAAAGTATATGCAGCTCAGCTCACTTACATATAGTATCAATAGCTTATTTACATATACATACACTGCAAACTAAAAATATTATCCTATGAAAAGAATTTTATAGCTAAGCATATGAAATTATTTTTTATGCATAGACTTATGCCAAATATTTACTCATTAATAATGAATAAAACCTTTTTCCCTCTTTCTTTCCAATAATTTTAGCTGAGCAAAAGTTCTGTGAGCAAAACTAATGCTTTTAGGTCATCTATCTATCTATATATATATATATATATATATATATATACACGTTTATTACATAATGATTACAAAACTATCATTAAAAAGGCCTTTGGCACTAGAGGCACATGCATTTACCGCTTATCTTTAAGAGCCAGAAGGAAAAAACTATAAGCCATTTAAGAATAAAGACCAATGTGAGTAATAGATGCAAAATTACTTTACTCTAGGTAATTAAAAAGTAAACAAAGAAAAGTTTTAAAGTATTCTATCATTTATAATCCTAATTAAATTCTATCATTTATAATCCTAGTTGAATTTTTAAAGATTTTTACCACTGAAATCAGCAATACTTGGTACCAGAAGATCAGGGCGTTTTGTTTCCACATATTTCAAAATTCTTGGGACATAAAAAGATGAAAACTGTTTTTTAAATGTCTATCATTAGAAATTGTTTCAGTTTCTATACAATTTCTTACATGGCTATTAGACAAAACCATTTCAATTGTTTTTATGACTGAAACATACTGAAATGTTTCTTTTACAATTTTGGTTTCAAATTGACCTGTTTTTGTATTCAGAGCTTGATCCAATCTACTGCCAAGCATAATTTCGACAGCTTCGATAAAATTCTGACAGCTTTTCAAAGCCTTTATTTGTCCTTTAGTTGCTGACATGCCATCAAAAATCTGCCTAATGGGAAGGATGCCTCCGTGGAGGTCTTTGTAAGGCAAACTGGTTCGTATACACGTTACACATGGAGAAAACCACAAAAAAGTCCATGCAGCCAGCTCCTTCATGCGATTCAAAACTCTGGACCGAACTACCAGTGCTCAGCGACTTTGCCGCTGGTGGGTAATATTTAGGGGATGTGCATTAATGTTCGGAGAAAAAGCATGATATTAAGCATTTGTAAGTAAACAGCCTGTTAAACATGGTATTTAGGGCATATAAATTAAAATGAGCGCAGGGGCGTAGCTAGAGGGGGGCAAGGGGCATCTGTCCCCGGGCGCAGGATCCAAAGGGCGCCAAACTGATGTTACGGCATTTTAGAATTAAATGTTTTCCATCCTTGGGAAGCAGTAGGGGGCGCGAAATCTTCAGTTGTCCCTGGGCGCTGAAAACCCTAGGTACGATTCTGAATGAGCAGCAAGAAATATAATATTAAGCATACGTAAGTAAAATTTACATAAAGTAAATATTAGTTACTGAAATCAATTTGGCCTTCCCCCATTTTCTCAAAATTGTTCCAAAAACTGTTCCGTTAAGAAAATTTTCGGCAACATATTATCTTAGAAGGAAACATTCTTTAAACGCAATTTAATATTTCTTTGACTGTATCTCAACCATTATGCTTAATTTCATGCCGAGACAAGTACTCGAGTATGCAGTTTTGTAAATTTTCTTTGCAAACACTTTAAAATCACTTTTAGGAAACATAGCACGGAAATCAGACAAAATAATAAAATTGAGAAAAAAATGACACATGCAAATAAATTTTGAACAGCAGCGAAAGAAAGCGAGGAGGCCGCAAGAGAATTCTACCAGCTTTGTGCTTTTGCAGCGTTTACATTTACTGGATTCTTTGCGGTAGTGTTTTCGAAGGCAGGTGGAAGGATGGTAACTTTGAACTTCTGCAGTTCATAAAATTTCAGAATGCAGTTCCAAATACTGATATACATCTGTAAATTTTTTTCATGACTGTTGCGAGAAGAATTTTGCAAAGTACAAATGGATTAAAAAACACCTAAGACTGAGAAATTGTACCATACTGTCTACAAATCAGCTGATAGAGTAGTAAATCAAACTTTTAGAATACTATTAATGATTTTGTGTATAAGGAAAACAAACAAAATAGTACTTTACGGTATTAGAATTAATGTTTTATTTCAAAACTAAACCCAGATATTTTGTTTTTATGTATATCATTTTGACATTTTATAGACTTTTTATTGTGCACTGAGTGAGGCAGCAAGAACTCTGGCTACACCTCTAACAGTGTTCACATAACTTAGTTATTGAAAATGTAAACAAGCTGTGTTACCTGAGTCTTTAAATCCTATCTAAACCAGAAAATGAATTCATATGAGTTTATTAAAATCAGGTTACTTACATTTCTTTCCTACTTTAAAGGACTGTGGATAAGAAAAGGTTTATAAGACTTGTTTGATACAACAATAGCTTTTGCTAATGTAAACAATTATATTATTTTGAACATTACTTCATCAGATCCTCTCACTCATTTTAATATCACTAGGAGAAGATATAATAACTAATTGAAATGAAAAGGCAATAATCTTGAAAAGTAATAAGTAAATGTCATTAGTTTAACTTTCTAACTATTGAGTTGATGTATATGAATTAATCTATGAATCATTTTAGAATTATCATGTTTAAATTAGTATATATTTCGACAATTTTGAAAGTATGCCTGACAAGTTTTCTTAGAAGGGGGAAATAAATAAATAAAAATAACCCGTCGAATTAGGTTTTCTCCCGCAATAGAAGGGAGGGGAAGCTGTTTTTTAATTGTGCATTCTATTATCTGTTAATAAAATAAGTTAATTTTTTAAATATGATAGGCGCTGCCACAAATATAAGGCAATATTGCTTAATTTTCATATTATAAAATAAAAATGCATCAAACATTTAGGTTTTATGGCTTACATATAAAAAGTCGTTTTGTTTCAGTTGAAATAAAAATGTTTAGACATAAACGAATTTTACTATTTAATTAAGTCTGAAAAAAAAACATGCCTTACATTTTTTAGAAATAAATACTGTTTTTTTTTTTTTTTAATTTTCTTATTTGCATTAAAAGAAATAAACATTTGGTGTACATATTATATATTGGCATATACGTATATTTGTCAGTAAATACATATTTAGCATAAAATAAATACATGTATATAGCATATAAAGTCAACTGAATATCTGGAATTTTCAAAAATCCGGACTAGGTATAGTTTTTAATTTAAAACAGAGTAGAAAATAAAATTACCTTTTAGGACATTAACAGCATCTTCGGGAACTTCTTGCAGTTATAAAAATCTGATAATTTTGAACTATCATGTAACGCCTCCTGAAAAAAGTATTTTATTGTGCTACAGTTTAAAAAAAAGACAAGGGGCAGATAAATTTGACAATTTGCTGTGGCACAAGTATTAGGAATATAGAACCTATGTAGAATGGGACAAGGTACTAAAATTTTATGCTTGGTCTTTGATTGAAAATGAATTCTCATTAAATAGTTATCTGCATGAATTACCTGGAATATTTAATAATACAATAGTTTTCAGTTTGTCATCAGAAAATCAAAACTTATTATTTTTTTTAAATAGCTGGGTTTTTTTTTTTTTTAGTCCAAAGGGGCAATTCTCCCAGAAGGACTGTTAATTTCGTTTTGGCATTTTGCATATATTTTGCATTTTGCATATTCCCGATATGTTTCATTTCAAATTGCTGCCAAACATTATATTTAAAGAAATTAAATAATGAAGAATCTGCATGAATGTATGTATGTTTCTCGCATTGTAATAAAACAACGGTACCTAGAGCCAACAAAATTTGAATAAGGTAATCTTCCATAGAATATGGGCATGTGGAAGCCCTAATTTGAATTTGAAATTGGTTTTATTATTTGCTTTATTATTTAATATTTTGTAATACTTCAACGAATTTTTGATTAACAAAGTAAACGATTTCAAAGCGAGCAATGGCAAGACTGTATGAGTGAAAATATATATATATATATATATATCCAGCTCGCGAGACTCTGTATTGGAAATTCTAAAGATATGTTCATTTTAAAATTATTTTGCGAGATTGCTGTTGAATGTTTTTATGGTTTAAGTGCGAAGAACGTGATATTTAATAAATAAAGGTAACACACAAAATGTTAAAAAAATGCCCCTTTGGACGTAATTTAAAATCTGAAGCTTTCAGTCTTTTTTAAAGAATGCAAGATTTTTTTTAAATCGTAAACGGAAAGCCGTCTTAGCAGCTTTATTGGCCTCCAGGACTTTTGAATGTTCAAGAGGCCTTAGTTACAAAATATAAGTTTTAGAATGCTGATATGACCCAGGTAGTGCTAGTATTTATATTTTGGAAAAATTCAGCTTTGCAACAGTAAGTGAATTTTATTGTCACAAACTATAAGCAGAATTTATAAAAAATGAAAGTTAAAAATCTATTAAAAACTACTAGAAGCTGAAAACGATATGAGTTCAATAGAAAATTCAGTAAAGTATACGGTTTTTATTTCTTCCAATACTACCAAATAATTTACACACTTGTGTTATAAAAAAAAAAATCAAAACTTTAGTATGCATTTTTTTTTTCCACCGCTGTTCTTCCTATTTGAAATAGGAATGCATGCAAAACTAAATTTAAATAATTAAATTCGATAGCTTTGTGTAAATTGTTCAAAAATAAAAATAATGTTAAGAATTATTTACAAAAAGTACCATCCATACGTACAGCTTTCATTGTGTTAGCAGTACGTAATAAATAAAACTACGTTACAGCATTACACTCTTAAAGCAAATTTACAGACACCTAAAAAAAAAAAAGAGCAAACTAACTATAATTTATAATAATTAAGATATTTATATTAAGAAATAATTGTATATATATTTTAAAAGCGAACTTACTTTTGGCAAAGGAGCTGTATCCATTGTTACGACTGTCCTCGCTTGAAATGGCGCTTAGCCAAAGAACGTTCTTTGGCTTAGCAAACTTGTTTGGTCAGTCTGGGTGGACGATGACAAGACAGGGGGTCGTCCTGCTCCTTCAATTCACTCCCTTCCCCAAGGTTATTATTGCAAGTGGGAAACATGTTCTGCTACCAAGACAGTAAATTTGCGTTGTTTAACACGAAACGGAGCGAAAACTGCTGTCACCCTCCAAATCCCACTCTGCGAGATTTAGAGTGTTGCATCGAAATTGAGGAGCTAATTTCTCTCACTCAACTCTGTTTGAAACAAACACATTTTTTTCCAAAATTACAAAAATGAGGATTAGCCATGGAAGCCCCTCAGTCTCCCTGATATACATGCAATTAAATCAAAATTTGAAACTTTAAACTGGCATGGTTCCGCTACGTAGACGATACTTTTACCCTGTTTGAAGGTAATAAAGATGATTTAAATAAAGTTCTTTCAACAATGAATTCTATTGATCCTGCTATTCAGTTCACTTTTGAACTTGAGACTTGCAATTCTCTTCCGTTTCTCGACATTCTGGTCACACGTAACACATCCAACTTCAGTACTACAGTTTACCGTAAACCTTCATCGGTTTGCCTTCCACCGCACTTTAAATCATGTCATCCGACTAAACAAAAGTTAGCTTCATTTTATTCCTATGTTTTCCGTGCTCTTCAAGTTTGCTCCTCCAAATTAGCCCTTGATGAAGAACTAAATTATTTAAAAGCAATAGCTATTGACAGGGGCTTTTCACCCAACATTATTAATCAAGCAGTTAAAAAATTCTCATCTGAACACACTAGAAGCCACACTCTTATTTTAGGAGATTATAAAAATTCTGTTGTCATTCCCTTCTTTCCATCAATTAGCTATAAAGTTGCACATATTTTGCAGAAATTTAACTTTCGGGTTGTTTATTCTCCCATCAATAAAATTCCAACTTCTATACTCAAGGACCCCATTCCGGATATGAATTCCTGGGGTATTTATAGGATTCCTTGCCAGTGTGGTTTAATTTACATTGGCCAAACTAAGAGAGCCTTAAAATTTCGCGTCAAAGAACATGAGGCATATGTTAGAAAAAAAGGAAACACAGAAGTCTTCTGTTGCTCAACATTGTTGGTCCGAAAATCACACTTTCAATTTTTCTGCTGCCAAAATTATTCAAAAAACATCTTCCATTGGAGAACTGGATTTTCTAGAGGCATTTCACATTCATAAAAATCTTTCTGTTCTAGTTAACGATCCTAATTCCAATCCAAATTTGCCTTCGGCTTTTAGAGAAATTATGTTTTAGTTCTGGTTTCGCCAACAGATGGCGCCACTTGCTTATTCTTGTCCAGGCTTTCTTATCTTATCTAATCATTATTTCCTAATCTTGTTCATTTGCGGTTTTGCAGCTGAAGATGATGGTTCGGTAAAACCATCGAAACTAGTCCTGTGAAAATTTTGTAGGTATAACGCTGATTTTTGTTGTTTGACTTCTGAATTAGAATCTAAATCATATTAAAAATTAGGTTTTTTTATACAATCTACAACACTAGAGAAAATTAGCTACTTAAAACATCCTTTCGAAGAGGATTAACATAAAAATTTATACTTATATATAATTTTTAAAGCTGGGACATGACCCATAGCTGTGGCAATTCATTGTAACAAAAATTCATAAACCACATTTGGCGTTATTATCGCTCAAAATAAGATACCAAATTTCAATACACAAAAATATTAAAATTTGTGTATATCTTAGAAAATATTGAATAAAAAACTATTTTTGCAGGTATGCTTAGAACTACATCTACTTTAAGATGATGGTAAAAATTTTATAGGTTATAATTCAAAATTTTTTCCGAAAAATTTATAAAAATTATTTAAAAATAAAATACAAAAATTGGCTGAATTTTATTTGGAATGAACCTAAATGTGAAAGGAAGAATCAAAGAAGTTTAATAAAAAGAGATATTAATAAATATATGCCAAATTCAATTAACACTGAGGAGCTCACATTTTGAGAGCTAATTTTTTAAAAACTACTTGTATGATTTTTACAAAACTTGGCAGTCTGGCATAATTTGAGTCGTAGAATCGAAATATGTAAAAAAATTGGCGTCATTTCAGAAAAAGTCCGATTTTGTGTCAAAATACCTATGTTAGAATAGTACTATATATAAATCTAATATATATCCTAAGTCTATATTTTGTCAATTGGCACAGTAGAACGAGAGATATAGAACTGTCCTTTTTTTTTTTTTCTGCGCAGTGTACCTCAAGTTTTGCTAAACGCACTACAATATGTATCATTTTTAACTTGCACTGAGAAAAATAGACGCAGCCTGAACTCTACATTTTCTTGTATTCAAATCTGGATCTTGAGAGATCCTTAAATTCTTTGATCAGATCTTCAGAATCCTTTAAATAATAATAATAGTAAGGGAATAAAAAAAATCTCTCAATCAATATTAAATGTTTTAAAACAAAGCAAAATTTGAGACATAGAATTAATGAAAAACAAATTTAAGACCACAGCCTAAAAGATGCAAATGAAATTCAGAAAGTGATATATAATTTAAAGTTTTAAATCTTGAGATTTACTTTCCTAACATATTTTCACAAACTTACCTGAATAAAAGATCAAAATTCAGCAGCTATGACTGAACAATTCAATTGGTAAACAACTAGAATAGTCATGTGCACAATGCTGTATTTCTGTATCATAGCATGAGTTATTAGAAACATTCAGGGCCTATTCCATAATAGGTTATCTACTCCCAGAATTATCCTGGTAATTCAAGAGCTAGTACCAAGAACTGTTGAGAAAGCGGAATGTTCCAATTAGGCAGTACATTTCTCTGGATATCACAGTGAAACAAAGTGAAATTCAAGGCTGTCATAAGATAGTATTGGCAAATCAAATATTCCTGAAAATTTAATGTAATTGCATTTCTTTTTCTTATGAACAGTTCTGTTGAACATGAATAAAACTAATCTTTATAAAGTTTTAAGTTAAAATGCTGAATGATTACTTACATTAGGATTCCAGACTGACATGTTGAGGAAATTGCTAAAATTTGAATGTTATATCTAGATATAATTTGAGGGATCTGAGTACCTGAATGCCACATTTCTTACAAAAAGAAAACGTAGTTGAAAATTCAGTTTGAATTTAACTATTTAAGGTTAGGTTTCTTTTGACTGTTTGGTTTACTTAATTTATGGCAAAGAATACAAAGGCTATCTGCTTAAGGGAAGGGAAACTGGTTCATGTGCACATTACACATGGGGAAATCCAGAAAACGCCCATGCAGGCAGCCTGTTCACCTGGAACTGAACTCAGATCGAAACTACCAATGTTTGACGATTTTACTACTTAGCTGCTGGTTGGTAAAAGGCTAGGTTTGATCTTGGTCATTTTGGTCCTTCCATTAAATGTGAGAGGGGGGGGATTTTTTTTTTCTTTTTCCTTTCTTGAATAATGATAATTCTACTGAAGCACTAATTCAAAACTGTATTTTGTTTGGAACATAATTTTAGTTATGTGGAATTGTACATATATGCTTCTATTTGAATAGAATTACTGGAGTAATTTTGTGAAAAATTTTGGTTTTCCATTTATTTATTTTAGAATTAACATCATCATAAGCTCTGCATTCTCTTCCTTTTATCAAAATATCCCTCAAAAAACTTTTTGTTGTGCTATTCAGCTATATTTATAGAGACGCAGCCAGATTTCTGTATGCAATTTTTCTAGGAACTTACCATATTTCTGGATTTTGAAATGACTTTCGAGTCTATTTGGTATTTTTTGAGTACTTCTTTCTTGAATGCTATTTTCACATTAATTCCTTGCAGGCAGTGGCATTCTCTTGTATAATTTTTGTGTCATGCTATGACTGCATCTCACAATTGCAGTGTATGCCCATCAAGCTAGTTAACAGACTAAGGTCTTGGGGTTTCAAAATTTGGGTCTTGTGCAATTAAATTCATTTACATTTCAAATGTTTGGGGATAACAGGATGCTAAAGAATTATCTCACAGTTGTAGTGCATACCTCTTTTCAGGCTTTCTGATATTAATTTCATATGTTCAAAATTTTGTGGGAATTTTAGGACCCTTTGATGTTTATCTTTGAGAAACTCTGTACATGTTTTTAGCTTGCTTAAGTTTCAGCTTATTTCAAAGACAAATCCAAAAATTTTCATTAAATTATTTAACTGTCAATTTTGAAATGTTTGGGAATTCTTCCTAAAATCGAATTTTATTCTGGATTTGATTAATTATTTTGGGGTTATTGCCTGTATGCATATTTCTCAAGGGTTTTTCTTTCAGTTGTGAGTTTTTAAGCGTTACAAAATATAATAAAAAATTACAATATCTATTTTTCAAATTGATTCTTTAGTTTTCACTCAAATGAAAAGTTCTTACTTAATTGCATTTGTAGACCAATAACACCACCTTTCGATTTCAATTTACTTCTGAAAAACTAGTCACAATTATAAAGTAGGAGGAAACGAAACAAAATGCTTAATTTCCTGTTTTCAAAAGAGTGTTGTTCATTTCATACATTATCTACAAATATGCATACCATATTAACATACTTTACAGAAGACAGAGAAGAAATAAAACTTATTCATATATCATCACATAAATTGCATAACATATGCAAAATTTTCATTAATTTACTTCATATGTTTCTATTCAAAATCTATTTCACTACTTTCAAAACAATGTAAATAAGGACTCTGGGTTCAGGCAAAATGTAGTGCTCTTAAACTTTCCTGAAATTTAAAATGTTGTTTCTACTATCATAAGTTTGACCACCTCAGTAATATTTAATGCCCTCAACTGGAAACATTGGTAGTGATGTCAGTGTTTCCAGTTAACCATCATTTCAATATTTTCTCAAAGCATGGAATAAGCATAGGCTTTGTTTTCATTTTATAAGATATATTTTTACTAACAGAATAAATGGGGTGAAACTACTTCTGTTGGATGTTTGAAATACTCTCATAGAAGAAAAATTAATTTTAAATAACCATTCTGAATGATAAAATTACTACAGTGAAGTACAGACAATAATCTGACTGATAATACTTAAATATGACTCTGCTGAAATAATATAAATTAAGAGTTTTTCAAATATCTTCTACATAAAGCTCATGAAAAATTCTATATTCATAAAGTCTGAAAGTAGTTTTGTGTAGTGGTACATTTATGAGTAATTAATTATTCAATGATTGAATAAGAATAAAAGTTTGTTAAAAAAAGGAAACAAGTCAGTATGAATAAATGTTATATTGAGCATTTTCTTTTTCTAAAGCAGTAAAATACATATTTAAAAAAAAAAAAAAAAAAAAAAAAAAAAAAAACTGAAAAGATATTGCAATGGGTATTCAAGTGGAGTGTCTGTCAAGCCTAAAAACATACTAATCCAAATAATGTTAATGATTTGTTTTATTTACAACAAAAATTGTGCATGTTATTTAAAATAAAAATTGACGTCATTTGTTGTTTGTCTGTATCATACAATTAACATATAAAGATATTGCCATTTTTCCATCACTTTATTCAAATATGCAACATCACTTCAAATGTCTTAAATAAACTCAAGCGGACACACTTTATCAACCAGCAAATGACGTTAATACGAAAGCCCGATTTGCTCAGCCACAGTAAATCCAACTTCTGTAATGTATCACATAACAAACATAACACCAAAATATAAATTATGTCTAATAAAAATCTCTGGAACATGTGGGTTTCTTCAAGACAGTATTCTATCATTATTCAGTGCGTATATTACATGTACAAGAAGAAAATATATATACACGATTTTATTTTTTTATATACTAGCTAAACCCGCCGCCATTTCTTGCCTGTCATAACCTCAGATGTGCATCAAAGTCTGATGGGTGTCCATTAACTTCTCGTCTATCTTTGGGGAAGTAAGATTCCTGCAAATTCAATACTGCAGCTCCTGGTATTAGTTTGTGGGGTGCCATAGGAGAAGAGGTTCGAGTAGTGGGAAAGCCTGTGTGATTTTGCATTGGAAAAGTGCATGGAATGAGAGGTGGCGGAAGTCCATTCAACATGCTTGGAGGCCCAGGTTTCGTCCTTCCAGATGTACTACACAGGCTGCTGAGATAAGGGCTCACAGGAGGAGAGAAGAAACTAGAAGCAGAGGCAGGTGGCAGTGTTGGAGGGGTAGTAAAATGAGATTCATTTGTCCTTAGTGGTGGTGGGAGGAGTTTAGAACGATCATATGCCGCAGCCACCGCAGCCCGCTCCAATTCTAAAGCATTTGAGATTTGACGAGAGAGTTCACTTCCAGCACATGTATCTCGTTGTGGGAAGGAATCATATCTACGCACATCATGTTCAGGTCTTCCTTGTAACATTTCCCGAGTCCTATAATGTTCTATAGCAGAGCCTGGAATTGTAGTAACTGTAGGACTAGGAGTTAGTGGACCCCACAGTGGTGATGTTTGAGAGTGATGGGCCAATGTTTCTTTTGCAGGAGAAGGTACCAAACCATGAGGACCCATTACCCGTGAATGATCAATAGAGTTCAAGCCCAAGGCTACAGAGTTATGTATCACACTCCTAGATGAGACTAAAGACACAGGATCGGATGTTTCAGACTGTGGAATGCTACCGGGTCTTTTACGTATTCTTTCATCCCCAGGAATGCTTGACCTGGAGCTCCTGGAAACTGGAACCGGTTCATCGTCTTTCCTTTCTTGCTTTATTTTTACTTCCATTCGAGGAGGTGGAGGTGCATAATGCCTTTCTAAGGCCCCTTCATATTTCACTGGATTGTTCGGAGGAACAACGGGAGATCGTGGTAACTCTCTAGAGTCTCTAGTCCTCTCCCATTCACGGGCAACTGTGTGATGTGGATGATGATGTTGAGTATGGTGAAGATGATGATCCCTGATTTCACCGTTCATTATGATAGAACTTTTCTGTAGTTGATGATGCAACCTGAGCTCTCGATCTCTGCAATAATTAAATAATAAAAATAAGATAGAGCAATTTTAGACATAAATTTCATACACTAGCCATCTAATCCTCACTTCTATAATATTTTCCAAAAATAATTATCATGCATAACACAAGTTTAAAATTTTCAGTAACAACAATTTTCCTTAATAATGTACAGAATAAAGCAGAGTTTCTCCTGGGTGAAAAATTATACTTAAGTATTTCAGTTGTTAAAGGAGAAGGGGAATCCAAGTTATATACTTATTAATATTAAACATCATGTTTATGTTTGATTTAACATTTACTCCTTATAGTAATATATATTAATATATTAAAATAGAAATTTTTGAAGAAGATATACCCCACACCAGTCTTCCTTGAAACATACAGTTTTGCTATAAACCACTACCACTTTAAGATTAATTTTTAGTAAATTTATATAATTTGTATATTATTAAATGAAAATTTTATTTTTTGCTACATAAAAATGTTTATGAATCTAAATACTTTCTATTGGATCTTAGTGGGTTTTCACATTTATAAGATAATTAAAAAATTAATGATTTTTATCTCTGCTTTAAGATAAACTATTCCACGAAAGTAGAAAAATTTAAGATCGATGCAAATATTACATATTATGTATTTTGAGTAGGATTCATTTTCATGCAATTATTTCCAAATACCATTCATTCACTGCTTATTTAGAAGATATTTTACTATGTGCTCCAAAAATACTCGGATTCATTATTTAAGAATTTAACTGGCTTATAATTACTACAGAAACTTATTTACTACTATCTCAAATTACAAAGTTAATGGAGTTTATTATTTAAACATCATATATACAATTCAATAAAAATATTACATACCCCCCCCCCCCATTTTTTGAGATAATGATTGGTGCCTCACATGAATTTATTTCAAATTTTAGGTAAAAAATAAACATTTTAGCAACACTACAATAAAAGAATATGAATAAAAAGAGAAAACGTAAATTTTTAATATTTCAGAAGAATAAGTATATCTACAACTTTTGAAAATGTTGTTTATAGGACAAATGTACATTTTTCCTCATTAAGAATCTTGCTAAAAAATCTAATATACATGTTAAAGTCATCACATTCAACTTTAGAAAATGATAATAAAAACAAAAACTATTCTATACTAGAGTTGAATTTTAATAAGCAAAAATTGGAGAAATCAGAAAAAATTGTAGGTAATAAAAGTTTCAAATTAAAAAACACTTCCAACAAATTATATTTAAAAACATTTTCAGTTCTAACCAGATATGCAAAAATATAGTTAACAATAAAAAACACAAGTTACTGTACATATTAATGATAAAAATTACTTTAATGCATTACAAATGTTCTTCAAAACATTACATTAGAAACATTCTTCAAATCAAGATAACTGGATTGTTTTCGTTTTATATTGGTGCACAAAATAACTGTGGTATGAAATCATACATCAAAGTGAAACTCGAACATTTTTTTTAATATTTATTTAACGTATTTCTCAATAGCAGAATATTATATGAAATATTAATTGTGTAATAACAGTCGTATTTTTTAGATTTCTTAAAGGTATATTAAATATTTTAAAATATAAAATCTAAAAACACCCGTATTCTTTAATTTAAAAATAAAATACAGATTAAATTTCTGAAATTAATTACTATTTCTTCAAAGTATATTTTTAAATACCTATATAATAATAATAATAATAATTAAAAAAAAACACCTGTGCAAAGAACATAACAGCAGTATAAATTACTTTCCATTCAAGAAATCTACAACAGAAACTTCAAAATAATATCCAATTTCCCTTTATCAAGAAAGGTATGTGAAATAATATTTCAGTAGCATTCAAAAAAGAAAAAAAAAGGGGGGGGATATAATGTCAAGATCAAGAAAACTATTACCATTTTGACTGTAAAATAGTAGAAGGGAACTTGAGTTACTGAAAATTCTGAATTACCAAAGCTTGAGTCTTATTGTATATTCCAGCAATAAAAAGCAAGCATTTTCTGACTGAACAACTGCTAACATTTTACACAAAATGGAAATTTATCTTAATTCAGTAACCTTCACTATTCAATTCTTGCAAGAAACAACAATATGTAGTGCATCCAAACAATAATATAAGAGCAAGCTTCTATTTTTTCATTTCTATTATCATACACTAGTTTAATAAATGGTTGAATGTTTCCAATATGAAAAAATAGTATTTTCATTAGTCATTTAAGAAACAATAAAACAGTTTTCATGCAAAAAAGGATTTAAGTAACATATTTGCACCTACTGAATGGCTGAGATCACCAGTTTTTAAGAAAATAACTCTAAAGCCCACATTATTAATTTTTAAAAAATTAACTTACTGAAAAAATAAAATTCACAATACTGAAATTTCAACAGAAACTTCAAAAGAACTGAGATCTTTTACAGATCTAGATACAAAATAATCAAATTTGGGTCTACAGACCTTTCAGACTAATATTTTATCTATATATTATTATGCTTTTTACTTCTGTACCGAAAACACATAAGTAATAAAATTTCTATTCTTAGAAATTTAAAGATCATTGGAGTTTGTTCATTTCATTTAAAATGAAAGGAGTATAATTTTTTTTTTTTTTTTTTTTTTTTTTTAAGTTTAAAATGTTTTTTTTTTTTTTTTTTTTTTTTTTTTTTGTGGTGTGTGTGTGTGTGTTGTGTGTGTGTGTGGAAGATTTAAAGCAAATCATTCTGGATATTTTTAATTAAATTGATATATATAAAAGGACATGTTTTAAAAAGTTTAATTTCACTCCATTCCTTTTATGATAACTGATATAAAAAGTGTACACAAAGAAAAATATATTTTTCTTAATAAATAATTTTTAAGAAACACAGATTGGGAAAGACTGAAACAAGAAATGGAAAAATCAATTAACCAAGGGTGGGCAAACATGTTTACTGCTGTGAGTAAAATATTAGTCTTAAACACTATCATATTTGAAATATAACAGATTGAAGCAACTGAGCTTTCTGCTAAGGTTACACAAAAATAAAGTATGAAGCATCATTAAATCCTAGGTTATGTTATTTGTGTATAGCAAAGCACATGAGGGCTATCTGCCTAAGGAGATGGCTGCCTTCCTTAGGGCAATTTCCATGTAAAAGTGTTACACATAGGGAAAACTAAAAAAACTAAGCAAGCTCATTTGCTGGGTTCGAGTCCAGGATGAACTGCCAGTATTCAGCAATCTAAACTACTTAGCTACTGAAGAGGTCCATTAAATTTTATTAACTTTAAATTGTTCTTAAAATTCTGGGATATGATGTGAGAAGTCTATAAAAATCTGGCAGCTGAAGCATTGTCCATCTTTAAATTAAGAGTTACCTGGCATATTCTTTTTATTAACTACTAATTCATTATTTAATCTTTAACAGTAAACCATGTTGTTAGGAGTAAACTACTGCTTTATAGAGAATGCTTTCATTGAGGATAAAAGAGCTGTCTTGTATTTAAGTTAAAAATGGAAAAAAAATAATCCAAAAACTATATGCAGGTAACCTATTCACCATAAATTGCAATGAGATGAGCTGTCAGTGTTACCTACTTTACCACTAGTAGAAAAGAACATTACAGAAAAACTAGGAGCACAGGAAATCAATTATTCTTTAATAGTTGCTAAGAAGAATTTTCACTATCGGGAGTATGTCTTGAAATGAAAGTTACAAATTTAATTTGGCATACTGAAAAGAATTATTTGTTGATCTGTATTAACAGTGAAGAAAAGGCAGATGATAAAGCTCTAAATTCATACTGCATAACAGAATTCAAACCAACAATAGAAAAATGGAATACTTTTAAGAAAAATAAATCATTTTAGCATGATTACATAACCACCACAGCTGCTCTTAAAGTACAAGATATTTTTCTTTACAGGATTACATGTACCAAATAATTTTTTTACAGAAAGAGTGTGACTGTTGTTTATTAGGCAGTGTTAAATTAAAGATGCTATTCTTATGACTTACAATAGTGTTCTTGTTTTCAAAGTAGATGTTGTTACATTTTTATTAAAGTGTGTCATATTTTGTTCTTTGTTTATTTAGATAATTAATATAAAAGACATAATTCTTATGTTTAGAAAAATTCTGCCTTGAATAATATGAGATAGCCATCTTTAGTTTGAATTTTTTTCTAAAAGCAAAGGAACAAAACATTTTTCTTTAAAATTTGACTGTATGCAATATGTTTCGCATCATGAAAAAGGTGTATCAACGTATGTGATATGAGTATATATATAAAATCTGAGTCTAACAAAAAAAAAAAAAAAAAAAAAAAAAAAAAAAAAAAAACTTTAATCAATTTAAAAAATAATAATTATTATTAGTAATGATTAAGAAAGAAAAGTTTTTATAATTTTTTTGGGGGGAGAATGCCCCAATATTCAAAATATTTGAGGCTGTGATTATGGAGCCAATATGGGTGGAGCATACAAAGGAAAGGAAAAAAACTGTTTGACAAAGAAGTTATCATTGTAAATTCATAAATTGTTCGCTTGTAGTTTAAATTGGTATGTAAAAAATGCCCCTTCAAATTCCAAAATGTTAACAATTCTTAGAGCTGTAGAGACATTAAGTATTTTTTAAAAGCAGGAGACATGAGAAATGCCCTAGCCGGTACTAGAACCACAGACCTCTCGAATACTTGCTGAGCGTGCTGACCACTAAACCACGAAGGCATGCTAAGAAGGCAAAAGAAATACGTTATAGAGCTATGCAGAGGATTTATAACTTTTTTTTGTATGCTCGCTGAGTTTACAGGATGCATAAAGTCAATATGCAGTGGACACTGAAAGCAAATGCTGTTAAAAACAACTGAAGCACATGGGTTACTAAAAATTTATGCCATCAAGTGATAAATCATTGCAAAGGGGTCAAAGTAATAGTATTTTGAAGCAAATCAATTTTAAAGTCTTATATACACGTACATGGAATTTAATACTACACGAAACAGATAAAGTATATGGAGTCTTCCAATAACAAGCTATAACTGTCTATATAAACAAAACATGTATCAAGTATGTATTATATCTTTTCTAGGAGCTGAGAGAGAATATTTCTGAGAAAATTCTTATTCTTGAAAAATGTGAAACTTTTCCTCTAGAAACAAATATATTGATAAAAAATAAATACTGATAAGTATAATGAAAATAAATAGAATTTGAGCAAAACTGAAAATAAAGATTAATAAGTCAGATTAATCAACTAATCAGAAAACTAATTTTTCATGAATATATTTCTTCATTGTGAAACATTAAAGAAGTATTAGATGTTTTAATCTCACCAGCTGCTGCCTAATTCATATAGTGGTTAACGACTCTGACTGCTGTGCCGAAAGGTGTGGGTTCAAATCCCGGGGAAGGCATGGATGTTTGTAAATATATAGTGGCATAGTGTCTGTGCGGCACTCTAAATATGTGGCGAGACAAAAGTCCTATCGAAAGGTTGGTGGTAGGGGGAGAGAGGTGGGGACCATCGGACTCCCCTCCCCTTCCAAGGCTGTCTCTGGCAAAAACACAACAATGTTTGAACTAATGGTTGGAACTGAGCTAAGTCAGGTTGTCAATTATATGGTGCTCAAGGCTCTTGCATATGACAGGTGCATTTGTCCCTTAACACAATGAGTGCTGTGGGCTTATGCACATGATTGTCAGACAACTGAACTGGTGATATGAAGCATCAATGTCACTGGATTTAGCTAAATGGAATTGTAAGCTATTGACAGGAGCTTGTAATTTAGCATTTAACTTTCTGAACATTATTAATATTGCAAAAATTCAACCAGAAATATCCAATATCAAAAACCACACTATTTCAATAATTCCATGTAGCTGATGAGATCTTTATTTCATCAAGAAAAACTTTCAAAGCATGGTCCATTTTCTATACAGAACATGAATAAAATAATCAAGAATGTTTTAAAAACCTTTTGTCAATTTTGATTCATTAAAACAAGAAAAGTTAAAAAAAAATGTTTGAAAATTAGTAAAATGCTTTTATATTATTTCAGTGTAATTTGCTATTTATTAAAAGGTAAATTATTATACATATTTTTCTAAACATATAAAGTTACGATACTATACTTCTAAATGTGCATAAATAGTTACTTTTATGACTATAAAAGTATGCAGCAATAATATTTATATAATACATATATGCATGTGTATCTGTGTATATGTAAACTTTTATTTGTAAAATTGTAAAGTTTATATATGCATATACATCTGAAATTTAGAAATTTCAAAATTAAATCAAAAGTGGCAGCAAACTACATAACAGGAAGAATAAATATAAAGATTTAAACTTAAAAAAAAAAGTATAACATAAAAATTCTAATATTAGAAAAGGTAAATGTGTGCGCCAGGAATGCAGTCAGCTGATCAATGTTCATATTTACAGAGTGAAAAGTATTGACATACTTTTCTTTTATACTCATTAAAATTTTTACATTCGGAATATTAATTAATGAAAATATCCGAATAATTTGCTCTTCATCTGCAAACTTCACCAAATTTCTTCACCTGTAAACATTATTACTGTTTACAGGTATTTTAAAAAAAAAAGAAAAGAAAAGAATTGTTGACTCCCAAAAACACAAATTCAGTATTTGAAAATATTAGTAAATATCAAAATGTTTAAACTAATTATTCTTTGCTTTGAAACTGCAGAGGCAATGATTTTGTTTTGAAAACAGGTAATATTTTTATACATGTAAAATTGTAAATTTTAAAATTCTAATAATACATTCCATAGGATGTTCTAAGCCTTATTATTATTATGGTCAAATTTTATGATTTGGATTCTGCGAACTTTTATGTTCTCAGTTTAAGATATTATGACATGAATGAGTCATAAGGCACAAGTTGCTTATTTAATTCCTATTTCCTTTAGCAATTATTTATTGTTACCTTAGTTATTATTCCTAGCATTAGTAATGATAAGTTAATATGATTCAAAATGGCAAAGAAAAAAGAAGGGCAAAGAGGGGGAAAAATGTGTGTGGTGTGGATATGCAGCTGCAGCTGGCAATATTCCAAAAATAATAATTGCATACTTTCTTATTTAGTAAAAAGAAACAAAGTAAAGAGATAAAGTTTGTAGGTCATTTTTAATTTAAGGCATTATTGGATTGATTCTTTACAGAAGAGGGGGGGGGTCTTATTAGTGTAATATAACATAACAAATAGATGAAAATTCTTAGTCTTTTTTTAAGGAGGAGCCCAAACATTTTCAACACAGCCACCTTACATCTGGATTATTATCAAAACAAATTAATGAAATTAATCAAAAATTGAATCAAACAGAAAGTCAGAAAAGAAAAAAATTAAAACTGAAATGCAAGGTCATTAAATTTTTTTTAATCAATCCTCTTAGGATTTTCTTTTTTTTTTTTTTTCTTTTCTTTTTTTTTTTTTTTTTCTTTCTTTCTTTTTTTTTTTTTTTTTTGGTTGTGTGTGTGGTGTGTGTGTATACATTTCTTTTTTCTCCCCCCTTTTTTATCTAATTTTCATTACATGTAGTAAGCACAGCTCTGGCATCAATTATATAAATAATCTATTTTTACTATACATTTTCTAGGGATATCAAAATAATCAAAATTTTGCTTCTTCAAAGTTGATATAAGAGCAATAAAATATGGCATATTAGCATCTGTGCTCAGAGTTAAGAAAGACTTCGCTTCCTGAAAAAAACAGCATAAAGTACTTTTGGGTTGCTAAATCTCACCTATTGTGACCTGTTCTCACTTGACACATGTTGGAAAACTTATAATTTATAAATGCTTATTTCTTTAATCTTCAAAAATATATTTCAGCTGCCATTAAAGCATGGACAACAGCAGATTTGCAACCACTACTGTAATGAAATTTATAGTGATGTATATTTGTCTGGCTCATGTTTGCTTTATAGAACAGTAAAAGAATTCCAGTAATCTGCAATTTTATACACAAGTACAAAAATACTTAAGGAATGCATATATTCACTACACAAATTTGCATAATAAAAAATATATGAAGCATTACATATAATTTTTTTAAAAAATTACCTGTCTTTCTGTCTTTCTTGTTCCCTTCGCTCTTGTTCTCTTCTTTCTTGTTCTCTCCTTTCCATTTCTCGTCGTTCTAGTTCTCTCCTCCTTTCCTGCTCCCGCCTTTCTTTTTCTTTCCGTTCTTGTTCCTTTCTTTCTTGTTCTTGCCTTTCAAGTTCTCTCCTTTCTTGTTCTCTTCTTTCTTGCTCTCTCCTTTCCCTATGAAATAAAATGTATTGATATTTAACAAAATTGCAAAATAATTTTAAAAAGTACAAAACTTTATGCCCCAAACAAAATGTCTGTAATATTAAAAGAAACATAAAAAATTGATTCTGGTAAATCTATTGTTCCAATAATAAAAAATAAACACAAAAATGAGAATTATTACAATAAGTTCTGGAATACATAACTTCAATACACTGTCATAATTTATTTTAATATTTGATAATAAATAAAAGAGAAGTTTTATTTGGCTCATTTGATTATAATAAAACACACAAGGGATATCTGTCTAACAGGAGGGATGCCTTCATGGAGGATTTTCTCAGAGAAATTTTCCCCATTACACATGGGGAAAACCAAAAATGCCCATGCAGCCAGCTTATTCACCTGAAACTGAACCTAGACTGAATTAGGAGCACTCAGTAATTTTACCACTTGTCCCATGGAGGGCAGAATAAAAGAAACAAAATATGTATTTGAATAATTTATGTATAAAGTCATTCTAATTATGAGCAACAAAAGTATTTAATTACTTTTATAAACAACTTCTAGATACCAAATTCAGTATTAATACAGTTCTTTTATTAATTCCTAAATGATAAATATCTTCTGGTTAAAGATAATCTTGCTTTTCTGTTTTCATATCTCCCGCAGCATCAAAACTTTTGAAAAACAAAGGAATTCTTTAATGATTGAAAATGTTTATAGTCCAAAGGAATGAAGCTCAAGAATGCCACAAAACTCTCCAACCAAAGTTGAATAGTTCTCTCCCCAGTGATTCCCTTTGTGACTGACAGGTGCTCACAGTTTACATATTAATTTTGTCTCAATTTATCTAACTGTTGGTAGTATACATTAAGATTAATGGTTCGGTTACATAGAAGGAAATCCCAATGGATTAATTCCTTCATATTCCACTATACACTTAACAAAACCATTTTAAGATATAATTCTTTCTTTCAAGATTGGTGAAGCAGGCTTTGATATGTAATACTCGGTTCTTCTACATTTGATATTAAGGCAAAGTACCAATTTCTCATTTCAATCTGTTCCAAAAATGGTTTACATCTAGAAGAAGAAAGCAAAGAAAGAAGGTTTTGGTTCTCACTTGTCACTACTTTATACTCACATCAATGTGCTATTTTTTAACAAGTATACAGTACAAAGTCCGAGATCCGGACTCATTTGGACACCGGTGGTTCCAGATTTAGGATTTTTTCTGGATATTACATCATCAGCTTAAATCTAGTAAGATGGCATGTAGAAATTATAAAATTAAAAATATGAAATTGTGATTTATGAAATAATGAAGCATTTATTATCTAAAGGATATCACATCAAAGTTTACAACAACAACAACAAAAAGGGCGCTTAATATTTATTTGTTAACTTCATTAAACACTTGAATGTAAATTGTTTAAGTTGCTCCATCTTTCTCTTTAATTCAGACATAATTTCTTGTTCAGTTACAAAGTTCTATTGTTCAAGTCCTGTAACTGCTGTGTTGAGAATTCTGACTAACTTGTCAATCGAATTTTTTTTTAAATTTACAATAACCTCTTTGTCACTTTCATCACTATCGGTAGCGATATTTTCTGGATCTAGAACCATACTACAGGTTTCACTATCCGTTAATTGATTGATGATTGGAGCTTGTCATCACAATGAAAAACTTCTGTTGTATAATCTTCATTAATACCGCTTCTCCACATTTCTTTACAAAATCCATTAATTGGAAAATTTCCCCCTTGGTTTGCGATATCTGAAAACTTTCAAATTTGCAGCTATCATCTTCATCATCCTTACCATGTGTGTGTGTGTGTGTATTTAATTATGGCAAAGCACACTAGGGCTATCTGCCTAAGGGGAGGGATGCCTTTCGTGGAGGACTTTCTAAGGGAAACTGGCTCGTATACACGTTACACATGGGGAAAACCACGAAAACGCCCATGCAGCCAGCCCGTTCGCGGGATTCGAACCTCGGACCGAACTACCAGTATCCTTACCATGAAATATGGTAGCTGGCCATAAATTTTTCCAAGCATTTTTTAAAGTATTCTGGAGGCACTTCTTTCCAAAATATTGTGATACTCCACACAGCAGATTTTATGCTAAAATACTGCAAAAATGTTTTAATAGTCTTGCCATTATTCAAGAAATTTTACATTGATTTTAAAAATGCTACTATATATTTGCATTTCAGTGCATACACTATTCCGATATCCATAAGCTGAATGACGAACATACAATTTGGAGAAAAGAATAAGATGGATACAACATTATCTTTCACTAACACTTTACGTGCAGGATCAGCGAAATAGTTGTCTACAATCAGGTAAATTTTTGCATCAACAGGTAAACCAACCAAATTCAAATGTTACTGAGCTTCAAGTATGAAATTCAATCATTAATTAACGCTTATATCATCCAAGCTCTTTTATTTGCACGATTTATGACAGAGAAAATCTTTAAATGATTGAGGTCATGTAACTTTTCCAATTACTAAAAGTTTACATTTGTGTGTTCTTCCAGCATTTGCACATGCTAAAATTGTTAGTCTCACTTTGGAATCTTTGACAGCTATTATTGTTGACAGCTGTTATTGTTGTTGAGCCTTTTCTGTAGAGGTTATCAAGATATTTCGGGGTACATTAATGCCAGAAAAGACCAGCTTCATCAGCATTAGCTTTTTCACCTGAAATTTTTAATTGCCTTTTACCATTGCGATTTTTAAATTTGGTTGACCAACCTATTGAATATGTGCAATCAGTTTGTCAGATAACTTCATCATGAAATATTTTGGCTTCAGCCATTAGCATTGTAACTGTCAATGGCTCATCCTCACTGCGATGCTGTCTGATCCATTCAATCATCACTTTTAGCATAACAAATACTTTTTCTATTATTCATTACGAGTGAAGTCCTAAATTCTGCGGCCATACGATCCCTGGTGCCGGTTCTGGGTTTATGTAAATAACAAATCAGTTATTCTTAATCAAATAGCACTAAATGTAAAATGTAATCCTTTGGGCTTATGAGTATCATTAACAAAATCTACTTTTAGCATAAAGAAAGAAATTTTTCCTTGTCAACATTTCTTAGTGCATTTAAATTAATTCTGTAACCATCGCCAAACATAACGTCAACATAAAAGGTTACCATAATTCTTTGTTATTCAATCACAATTACAAAAAAAAAAAAAAAAAATATTGACGCATTGATGCATGAGTCATTACTCAAGGTGCCATGTATCGATAAACATGTGGTGATGAAAGCAAAATATAATAAATAATGATATGCCAGGTTGGCATCAGGGATATAAAATATTAGTAGGTATAAAATCAATGATGTTTTGGTTTGAGATGCATGACAAACAGATACGCAGCCAAAATATTAATCACACAAATTTATGCTAAAATGATTGTTTCTTCAATAATGAGGTATTTTTAGTGCCAAAATGAAATTAAGAATCAGGACTCTCCACATGTTTTATTATTGGGGGGGGAGGAATATCAGATTCACATGCATATTCCACCCCCCCCCCCAAATAAAAGTTGGTGACGACTTTGAGGTCTACATTTCAGATCATTCCCGAACATTGGACGTCCGGATCTCAGACTTTGCACTGTATTCCATTTTTAGAAATTAATAGATGAATTTCAAAGTTACATAAAAGTCATAATCATTTCAATACTCCCTCCTTAGTTTCAATACTCTGTTTTATTACTGGGGGGGGAATCCTGTAACATTCAAACATGTCACCATGAAGGTTAAAATGTTGCCAAGTAGATAAAATGGGTGGAATATTTCCCCATTCAATCGCTGTGAGTAAAATACTAGCTACAAATGATGACAATTTTAATTCTGGTAACCCCTATTTAAAGCTAGTACATTTTCCCCATTCATTTTCTCTTTCGCATATGATCTGTGGTATCTGTGTTAAGTGTTATTTCTGTGCCACATTATATTTTGTTTAAGATGAGTGGGAAGAAAATTTCTTATATGGCAAATTTCAAACTGCAGGTAATCATGTTTGCTGAAAATTCTGACAACAATATGGCTACCTGGCATTTCTCTGCAAATGAAAAACAAATTTGAGAGTGAAGAAAGCTGAAAGCAATTTTGGCCAACATCTGATCTTTCAGTGTGGCCATGACGTAATAAATCAGCATTACAAATGATATTGAAAATAAAACAATCCCTTTCATTTAAAATTCCTTTTTTTTTTATTCATTATCTTAAGGAATAAAAAGTGTGATATTTAGTGATTGATCCATTGCTTTCAGCTAATGAAAATGTATCTACATTTTTTGTGAGGTTAGCAGTTCTGTACATAAGTTTACCTTTGTCATTTAACTTATAAAGCTCCACAAATTCTCAGCTTATACCCAGAAATATGTTCTCTCACCTTTATAAACAAGCAAGTAATTATTAATTTAAGCTTGAATATATAGAAAAGGAAAGTAGTTTAGTTACCAGAATTAAAAAGTAGTGATGAAAAGAAAGGTTTCTTCATAATTCTGAAACAAGATATATTGAAATAACCATTTAGAAAGTAAATTTTTTTATGCACCCCAGTTTGTCTAATATTATGGAAGGTCAATCAGTGTTTTCATAACAAAACATCAGTTGACAATAATGTGCATTAACTCTTAAAGGAAAGAAAATAAACATTCAGATTCCAACTTTCAAATTTTTGAAAAATCAGAAAAAAGGAAAGGGGGAAAAAAAACTCACATGGTTTTTTTTAAATATTAAGTATGGCATTTCCAGCCTCATCTGAATGATAAATATATGTTTTCACTGCAGTTAAGAATTAACAGCAAAAATCAATAGGAATAGCCTGCTATAGAAATCAGCAATGAAAACCATTCTACATGATGTTGAATATATGAGTGAAGTATACTTTGAGCAACATTTTGAATAATATGATTTAATAATTTTAATTTAAATATTTACTAACAACAATCCTGACATAAAAATATGAATCTTGATGACTACAGAAAGGTAATTAGAGGGATATTTTACTTCAATAGTTATATCAACAATCCATACAAGAAAAATCTGATGTGTACATCACATGACTTCCTTGTACGGAATATTAAATTATACGCATTTTTTCTTGCATTTCATTTATATTGGATTGAATTAAATCTACTTCGTCGAGAGCGCATAACCACAATAATATAAATGCACTCTTTAAAATTCACTATATTTGTTTACCATAGTCACACTCTGGCATTAGGTTTACTTAACAGCGTTTCATTTCATTCATATTGTAACTCAGAATGCACAAAATTTATATCATTTGAAGAATTATCAAATAAGTTTAATAAAAAAAAGCGAGATTAATAAATATATTTCAATTAACATTGAGGAACTAAAATTTTGAGAGTTGATTTTTACAAAACTTGGTAGTTTGAAGTAATTTGAGTCGTAGAATTGAAATATGGAAAAAAATTGGTATGTTATTTCAGAAAAAGTCCAATTTTGTGTCAAAATACCTATATTAGAACAGTGCTATATATAAATCTAATACATATCCTAAGTCGCGCTTTCAAGACATGAAAAACACAAGTTGAATTTCGTCAATCGGCCCAGTAGAGCAGGAGATATAGAACTGCCCCCCCTTTTTTTTGCATAGTGTACAAGCCATGGACATAAAGCTATAGTTGCGGAGTATGGTATGCAAAAGTACCTTATATTACAGCTAATTCTTCCTTATCACCCATTTTCTACTGTTTGAAGAAATTTTTTAATGATGAGCTAGATGCAGCAGCAGAGTTTGACATTTCATGTTTATTACTAGTCATAGAACATTTAATATCTGTATATCTACCATGGCTTATTGAAAATTTTGAACAAAGTGTATTGCACTGTATGTTGGAATCAATTATAGTTTTTTCAATAAATGGGTATTCCTTCTGTAGGTCTTCATTAAATGTACACTTCCCCCTTTTTTACTTTTTTTTTTGGAACCTATTACTAAAAAAAAAAAAAAAATGAATGGCCAAAAAAAAAAAAAAAAAAAAAAATTAAACTCAGGAAGATATACTCTTAGCACATATGTAACACACCATTGATAAATAAAAAAGACAACTTTGCTGTTGCCAAACAAGAAACGTCATTAAACAAACACGCTTCAGCAGATTAAAAAAAAAATTCTTTTTTAACTCTTCTAAATCAAAATGACGATGGAGTAAAAATTTTGCAATCTAAATGGAACAAAAGTAAGATGATTTTAGATGGATATCTCTACAATGAAATTTCAGCAAATGCAAAAGAATTATTCTTAGATGCTGCGATGTAATAATGTGTAAGGGGATGATACGAGGGCCATCCAGGAAGTAGATTATGTTTCTGTCTGTGTCCGCTAGGGGCGGGGCTAGCGCGGCCATCTTGGGGTCAGAGCGTTGCGCAGCTCAGTCTGCATCTAGCCGTGCTAGTGAGAGGTTCGTGCTGTGCTCCGTTCAGATACTGTGGCGGTTTGAAATGTCTGCGTTAATTGAAAATCCCGCGAGCTGCGAGGTGCGCTCAGTAATAAGGTTTCTGACTGCAAAAAACTGTAAACCAATAGAAATCTATCGGCAGCTTCGTGAAGTGTATGGGGACAACATTATCACTGAAGGTGGAGTGCGTCAGTGGGTCATAAGATTTTCAAAATGGCCGAACCAATGTTCACGACGAAGATCGAAGTGGGAGACCCAGCATAGTGACCGCCGAACTTCTCGAAAAAAGTCGATGCTAAAGAAGTCCGTGAAAAAATCGAAATTTCACAATAACGGAACTTTCTTTCTTTGAGTTTTCCACAAATTTCGCGAAGTTTTGTTGCACGAAATCATCAGCGAAAAGCTTGGTTACCACAAGTTTTTGTGCAAGATGGATTCCAAAAATCTTGACAGAGGACCACAAAAATCAGCGAATGGCTGCAGCGTTGAACTTTTTGGACGCTTACCATAAGGATGGTGACTCTTTACCTCGATCGCATCGTTACTGGTGACGAAACATGGGTGAAACATGTGAACTGTGAAACGAAATTGCAATCAATGCAGTGGGGGCACACAATTCTTTTCCCCCAAAAACCCCAAGAAATGCATGCAAACAATGTCGGCAAGGAAGATGATGGCGACTGTTTTTTGGGACAGAAAAGGTGTAATTTTGGGTGGACTTCCTGGAAAGAGGCACTACAATAAACTCTCAAAGGTATTGCCAAACTCTCCAAAAACTCAGAAGAGCAATTCAAAACAAGCGCAGAGGAATGTTGAGCTCTAAGATCTTGTTGATTCACGACAACGCCCGGCCCCACACGGCAAATGTCACTCGTAAAGTTCTTGAATCTTTTAAGTGGGAGTTGTTTCCTCATCCGCCGTACAGTCCCGACCTGGCACCGAGCGACTTCCACCTATTCCCAGCAATGAAGAAGTGGCTGGCTATGCAGCGTTTTGATGACGACGCACAGCTGCAAGAAGAGGTAACGAAGTGGTTGAAGGCGCAGGCGGCCGAATTTTTCGACGAAGGAATTTCCAAGCTCGTACATCGCTACGATAAATGCCTTAATTTGTATGGTGACTATGTAGAAAAGTAGTATTTGAGTGTGGCTTTCATCTGTATATAATAAAATTTGTTTCCTATACTTTGTTTATTTTTTTATTCCAAAACGTAATCTACTTTCTGGATAGCCCTCGTAAATACTAATGTATGTAACACCGTTGAACACCTATTTTTTAATTTGCAATTACATACATGTATGTATTATGAATTCAAATCACAATCGAATTAGTACATCAATTAAAAATTGTAATGCCATCATTAAGTGAAAGTCTGAACTGCTACTATGAGCAGTAAGCAAAAATTCTGTGTATTTTGGGGGATTGGGGAGTGAAGGAATGAGAAATAGAACTCCCCCACTACAATTTTCTAAGGTAAATGTTAGATAGGTAATTGCATGTTTATGTGGTCAGTATGGGCTGCATTTCTTAACTTGTGCTTATATTCTCAGAAAATCTACACTGCTTACATAAATACATACATTAAACTTTTACCTTCTCAGACTACTGTTTATCAGAACAAATGAATTAAATTCGCTATAAATTCAGGAAGAAAAAATGAGCTGTAAAAAACTGAGTCAGGGACTGAAAATTCAGGATGTATGGTCACCTTAATTTAGATCAAAATGCAACTTGCAAACACTGATGTTCGCAAGTATTTACATCATTAAGATTATCTTTTATTTTTATTTGGAAGTCATTCTTGCATCATTTCAAGACTGTTTTCACCCATATAAAAAGAAGCCTCACTTACTACTTAAGAACTACTTAAGAAACTGAGTTCATATGTAATTAATCCCTAAATAGTTCATGACAAGTACATAAGAAATAAATTATTTACAGAGACTATATATATTTACCTTTCTTCTTTCTCTCTCCTTTCCTGCTCAGCTCTTTTTTGCCTTTCTTCTTCTCTTTTACGCTCTTGCTGAAGACGATCCCTTTCAGCCTCCTCTTTCAGGCCACCCCAGGGAGATCCGCCTGCAAAGGGGAGGGCTGTGCGCTGAGCCCATGGATCTTGTGTGAGACAACTTGTCCTTAAATCTGCACTCAACATAGCAGGCCCAGGAATACCTATATTAATTAATAGGAAAATATATATTTAATTGCAGAAAATACAAGAAATGAAAACTTGCAAAGAAAATTTATAATCCCCAACAGGAAAGCTGAAATACATAAACTTTTTTAACTGCTAAGTTGGTATGAGTTCTGATTTCTGCACAATTCTGAATAAACTTCAGATAGTAGGGAAAATTGATTGTTGTGATGAGGTGGTTCATTGTTTAAACATATAAGATGTCCTCCAAAACCAAATGAACTCTGCTTAGTAAGCTACCTTATTCGGAGTACACAAAATATGACTAAAGAGATATATTTCTGTTACCTTTAATTTTTGACAAAAATGTTAAGGGAAAAAATAATAATATCATATCTGGTATACGGAAAGTACGTTTTATAGAAAACATGAACATTTGTACATGCATGTGACAATATGTTTACATGAGAAAATGTTCAAAATTATTTCTAAATATATCTAGTTATGCTCATGTGCACCACGTTATGGTTAACTGAACACAATCTAGCAGTATAGCATCTATAAATATGAATGAAGCATAAAGGTGAACAAATAAGTTTCCTTCTGTAACATGGAAGGTTTGATACACCAATTCCTTTAGATGGTACGCATAAGAAAAAATCCAAAGGTCTGGCAATTATGTCAATTACACAGCTGGACTTCCAGTTACACGAGTATTTTGTAGTTACCTAGAGTTCAGCTGCACATGCCACCAGCTAATGTCATATTGTTTCACAGTAGCTGAGTGCACTACTAGCTCACAACACATTTTCTTTACCACCTGTTCTAAAACATTCGAGTATCATGTAGTTGGTTCTCTGTTTTTATAAAAACGTTGTATTAATAAAGTTCATGTTTTAGCAACAAGGAATTATAACTTGTAAGGATCAACACTGAATCACATCCAATACTCTTACAAGGGCACTATATGCATGAAGCTTCAAATTGGTTGTTTCAAGACTTTTGTTTTCTTTGCTTCAATCACTTACCATGGAGGAAGCAGCAGCAATAAAGATATCGATCTACAATCCTATTGATCCTGCACTGAAGTTTGCTATGTGCGAATAACTTTCATTTTAGCTATACTGAAGCATATTATAGATATTAAGATGAAATTCAACTATTGCATCCCTCATTTGCTGCCAGAGATTGTCTTTTTAGTTTGAGACATCATAGTCTGGCAGAGCACTGATGCTTCTTATCGACCAAAAAGGTGTCATTTTTTAGACTTGTGGAGAAAGCTGTACCCAGGATATCTGGAAATTACTCACCAAGAAGCAGCTTGGAGACAATAAACCTTCTGAATTGTTTCAAGTCATGAAAAGGCATGTGAACACAATAGAACAACGAAAAACACAATTCGTTTGACTCACTGATGATGGAATTCTTTCTTCAGCAAATGCTGGTAAATGTTCAACCTATTTCTCACATTTGTTGAACTCCTGGATTCTTCAAAAGCCGCCAGCATTGAAAATAGGATATTAGTTAAGCACAATTTCTTCACCTCTATTGATCATTGTATGCAATAATTCTAAAATAGATTCGCTGTTGGATAAGGTGTGCAAATTATCCCTTTAACTGTCAAGTTATTTTGATGATTTGGGTGCACAAATTGTCAAATTGAACCAAAGAACGTCTAACCTCTAACCTTTGAAATCTTCCGTAGAGTGCTGCCATCTATTGAATTGAGCACACATTAACTTTTCCCGAAAAACAGTCGGGTTTGACAAAGAGATGAAGCCCAAATAAACGTCTCCCGATATATATTCGGGTATAACAATACGATGCACTCAAAAAAAATTACCCCGAGTAATACTCGGGCGTGACATTTTCGAACACCAGTGCTGTGCCCGAGATTATCTCGGGCATGACAGTTAAAAGGTTAACGTAGTGAGTTCTTGTCTCTATGATAATTGCACAGTGTTCTTAAGAAACACTTTAACAGAAAACAAAGCCCTTCACCTAAAGCTGCTTCAAATTTTTCGTATTGCTGATACCAACATAAATATAATGAGAAAACACAAAAATGTATTCCTCCATGTACATTCCATGGAAATGAATTGGAGAAAGCATAACGATTTGTGCTTGACCCCGAGTCTAGTCATGTTTTTATTAGAGACAAACATATAACATCTCCTTGTGCAATACTGGCTCAGACGTTAGTTTCCTCTCAGCAACCAAAGCTAAAACAGGTCAGACACCTATTCTGATGTTTTCTGCCGATAACAATACTCCAATTCTAGTTTATGGACAAAAAACTAAGTCTTGACCTTGGACTTTGCCCAACTTTCATTTTGTATTTTATGTGTCAACAAATATTACTGGAACCAATTTCTACAATATTTTGATTTGCTACCTGATTTAAGAAATGAAAAATCTATTGGTTTAAAAACTAATTGTAGTAGCATTAACACACATTTGTATTCTATCAAAAAAAATTACTGTAAATAGTGTGTATAATAAAATACTTTCTAAGTATCCTTCATTACCATAGCTTCCTGATCTTAATAAGAGGGTAAGCATAATATATGCATTTCATAGTAACAGTAGGCTCTCCTGTGTCATGTAAGCCTAAACATTAGCTCTGGATAGAATTAAAAGCTGCTAAACACGAAATCCAAAATATGATCATTTAAGGCACATGCGACCCTCCACACATAATCACTCCTCTCCTTTACACATAGTTACAAAGAAAGGCACAGATAAATGGAGACCCATGGCAGATTTTGGAGGTTAAATGCTCAGGCAGTGAGGGACATGTACTCTATTCCCAACACTTGTGACTTTGCAGCACAGTCACAAGGAGCAAGAATATTTTCTCATATAGATTTGGTAACATCTTATCATCAAATTCCAATAAATCCTTCTGATATTCACAAAATGGCTATTGCCAGACCTTTTGGAATTTCTGAAAGCACAATAATGCATGCAGATTGGACTATGCAATAGAGCTGCAACCTTTCAGCGGTTCATTGATGAAGTAACTAATGAGCTGTTAGAGGTATTCACTTTTGTTGATAATATATTACTTGCATCAAGGAGAAAATGAAACATTTGACACACTTGAAAGCTCTTTTTGAAAGATTAAGTAATTATGAGTTAACAATTAGTATCCCTAAATGCATCTTTGCTTTTTAGATTTTCATGTATCTGAATAAGGTTTATCATTTTTACCACACAGACTGCCATTCAAAATTTCCCCCAACCAAACTCTTTAACACAGTTGCGAAGATTTCTTGGCATTTTCAACTATAACAGAAGTTTTGTTCCAAGAACTTCCAGATGTTTCAGTTCCCTTAAGTATGTTATTGAAAGGCTGCATTAATAAAAAGAAACCTTCACAGCTGAGTAAAATAAAAGAACAATCTCTTACGAATTATTCACCAATGTGAAAAAAGACAATTGCTGAAGCTACGATTCTCAGACACCCAGTTGCTTGTGCTACTTTTAAACTTTGCACTGATACATCAGATGTTATGGTTAGTAACTCATTAATGCAAACATTTTTCATCCATTTACAAGACATGAAATGCAATAAAAGCATTTTCTAGAATTCATTCTGGATACGAAAGCATTCATCAGTTTATGCCAGCAGCATGCTGTCTTTATCAGATTGAGTGTTGGTAGTTAAAACTTTTCTACAAGAATGGCGAAATTCTTTGCCATGAATTTAGTATGATGTTTTGAGGAAATGGGAAGCTTGGAGAATCGTCCTACACCATCCTTGAGTACAGACTGCCCACATGTAATGCAAAGTGTCATGAAAAATTTGGCTGCCGACACGTCAACAGGCGGTAGCACTGCTCGTGAAGATGGGAGAATAACTAGAATTCCGGAATTGTTGATTTGATGTATTCTGTAATGAATCTCAAAACTGTATCTGAACAAAATGCAGGCACTTTAGGAGTTATTATTAGCACATATAGATAAAAGAAGAAACTTTACTGTGGGTGTTGCCACAAATGGAATATGACCCATCACATGGATGGATGATGCCCACTTTTCAATGCACTGTTATGTCCAGTCGCATCTAGGCCCCATCAAATACTCATGACTACCTGACAAAGGCACTGCATTCATTTCGTGTGACCGTTTGGTGTGGTTTCACAATACCTTTCATTCTGACCTTTTCTTTTTTTGAAGATCATTGTCCTATATCTGACTAGAAAACCTGTACAGTCACTGCAGAATGGTATGTTATGCTTCTGTATGACTATGTTGTGCATGCATTGCCTGTCAGCACCTTCTTGCAGGGTAATTCTCCATCCCATGCTTCACATGAAGCCAAGACTGTCCTGTTAAAAATTTTCACTGAAGTTATACGGATGTAAGTTAAAGTGGCCATTCCGATCACCAGAAGTTATACCACCAGATTTTTGGTTGATGAGTTTACTTAAAAGTCTTGTGTATACTACGGCTTCCCAGACACTTTGGTGGAAGTGAACGATGCCTTTTGATAGACTGATGAAGGCAGTGATGCCAACGTGCTGCCCTCAACTGTAAAGGCCCGTCCACACGAGGACGCTCCTGACGTAGTTGATGTAATTTTTTTGACGCTGGCGTAAATTCGCGTGACGCAGAAGACGTAAAACTGAGTACGCTCCTGTTCAGCTTTTCCGCCCGCGACGCGCACGTATAGCCAATAGCCGACCAAGTTCTTACCACGTGTCATAATCAGAAAACCTTCTTGCTTACCCGTTTCAATATGGTGCACAAAGATGAGTTTTCGCTTAGAAATATAACTGTGTACAGCAATAAAATAATCAGCATTGTTCACGCCATCTTCAGATTTCTCAAACCGTACATATTGGTATACATTTAAAATTCTCATTAAAGGGGAAAACTGTATATTTATAAAGCAATGATCCGACCAGTATATCCATATGCTTCACCTATTTATAACACTGTAAGTAATAGGAACCTAAATAAATTACAGTTTCTACGAAATCAAAGTTTCTGCCTTACAAAATACTCCTTAATTATTATAAATATTGGTTACATCATGTGTAATAAAAAGCTCTATAAATATTAAATATATTAAATACGAGGGCTATCCAGAAAGTAGATTACGTTTTGGAATAAAAAAATAAACAAAGTATAGGAAACAAATTTTATTATATACAGATGAAAGCCACACTCAAATACTACTACTTTTCTACATAGTCACCATACAAATTAAGGCCATTTATCGTAGCGATGTACGAGCTTGGAAATTCCTTCGTCGTCGAAAAATTCGGCCGCCTGCGCCTTCAACCACTTCGTTACCTCTTCTTGCAGCTGTGCGTCGTCATCAAAACGCTGCATAGCCAGCCACTTCTTCATTGCTGGGAATAGGTGGAAGTCGCTCGGTGCCAGGTCGGGACTGTACGGCGGATGAGGAAACAACTCCCACTTAAAAGATTCAAGAACTTTACGAGTGACATTTGCCGTGTGGGGCCGGGCGTTGTCGTGAATCAACAAGATCTTAGAGCTCAACATTCCTCTGCGCTTGTTTTGAATTGCTCTTCTGAGTTTTTGGAGAGTTTGGCAATACCTTTGAGAGTTTATTGTAGTGCCTCTTTCCAGGAAGTCCACCAAAATTACACCTTTTCTGTCCCAAAAAACAGTCGCCATCATCTTCCTTGCCGACATTGTTTGCATGCATTTCTTGGGTTTTTGGGGAGAACTTGTGTGCCCCCCACTGCATTGATTGCAATTTCGTTTCACAGTTCACATGTTTCACCCATGTTTCGTCACCAGTAACGATGCGATCGAGTAAAGAGTCACCATCCTTATGGTAAGCATCCAAAAAGTTCAACGCTGCAGCCATTCGCTGATTTTTGTGGTCCTCTGTCAAGATTTTTGGAATCCATCTTGCACAAAACTTGTGGTAACCAAGCTTTTTTCGCTGATGATTTTCGTGCAACAAACTTCGCGAAATTTTGTGGAAAACTCAAAGAAAGTTCCGTTATTGTGAAATTTCGATTTTCACGGACTTTAGCATCGACTTTTTCGAGAAGTTCGGCGGTCACTATGCTGGGTCTCCCAACTTCGATCTTCGTCGTGAACATTGGTTCGGCCATTTTGAAATCTTATGACCCACTGACGCACTCCACCTTCAGTGATAATGTTGTCCCCATACACTTCACAAAGCTGCCGATAGATTTCTATCGGTTTACAGTTTTTTGCAGTCAGAAACCTTATTACTGAGCGCACCTCGCGGGATTTTCAATTAACGCAGACATTTCAAACCGCCACAGTATCTGAACGGAGCACAGCACGAACCTCTCACTAGCACGGCTAGATGCAGACTGAGCTGCGCAATGCTCTGACCCCAAGATGGCCGCGCTAGCCCCGCCCCTAGCGGACACAGACGGAAACGTAATCTACTTCCTGGATGGCCCTCGTACACCAAAAACTAACTTCAGCAATATAACAACTTCTAAAATAAAGCAGTTGACTGTGAAAGACTATTCAATAAAATACAATTACGAAATTTTGGAGAAAAGTTACAACTTGTGTCATACAGCAATCATTTATTGAAGTTTAATTAAATTACCTTTGCAGAGACTTCTACTTGTTACATTATTTTTCACAAGCACTGCTATCACAGATAGCTGAGTGGTCAGCGCGGTGCTTTGGTGGCGAGTTCGATCCTCACCCATAGAGAAATATATAAATCAGTTAGCTGTTCTCATTTTTAAACGTGTTTCTTATATTTAATCATGAATCATTATATTCGTATATTACCTATTATTATTGTTTTCATTTCTTATTTTGTTTATTATTATTATTGTTTTTAATTTAGTTTAAAAAGGTGCAGTGTAAATAAAAATCCTTATGTAATAATATATCTGCATCTCTTTATCATATATCATCTATAAATTGACCCTTTATTTTTACTTTATTGCATATTTTATCATGCACATAATTTCTCATAAACTGTCCAAAGTTTGAACCTCATTCTAAATTAAAAAATAAATAAAAAGAAAAACAAAAGACCACGTGATAAGAACTCGGTCGGAGAGGGAGTTAAAAAAATATGAAGTTGGTTTTATTACATGGTGGATGATGTATATAAAGAGAATTAAGTAATTTAATTCTCTTTATATACTGTATTCCAAACCAATTTTATAAATCCTAATTTTCATACGATATAGAATCTGCAAGTCTGTCAAACTGGTCGATACTCATCCTGAAGGAATTAAAATAACAAGTAATATACCCCCTCCAAAAAAAAATTAATTCCTACTTAGGTCCACAAAGAAAAATTTAAAAAATACAAAATTAAGTATATTTAATAAATAAAAATACAAACAGAATTTTTTTAAAATTAAAAATTTAAAAAATTTTAATATGTGAAAAAGCTGTATTAACATCAAGTGTCATTCACTACAAGTTTAAAAAATTCTATTTGAACTTGAGTGGATAAATAAAAAGCATTTTATGTACTGAAAATTTGAACAAGATATAGGGAAAGTGTGAGCTAATAGTAGGAATTTGATAATTCAGGATATTCCTTTCGCAAACAAGGCAGTAAAAAAAAAAAAATCTCTTTGAACAGGTCGCTCTAAATAAATCTTTCAGGCTCATTCTTGCCATTTTTTGCAGTTTTGCCTCTGCTTAATAATTGCACTTAATAGTAAAGTTTCAGCTATTAAAAAAATCATTTGATTCGGACAACTTGCCGCAAACATACAGAAGCACAGCAAAGTAATACGATACGGCTCTGTTGACGCTATATTACAGCGTCACGTGATTTTTGCGCAAAATAATTCTATTGGTTAAACGCACTCTTCGCAAGCGTACTCATTTGGACGCTTTTACGCTGGTAACGTAAAGGCGCATTTCGTCAGTTACGTTTCGAGCGTACTCGCGTGGACAGGCCTTAATAGGTATAGTGACGTGCCTCATTTATCTAATACTTTGTACTGGTGGTCATGTTGGACAGTTTTTACTTTAAAATAAATACCCAGGTGACTAATTTGCATAAAATGTCTCAGTATGACATTTGAGACCACATTTTTGGAATACTTTTTTTTAACGCATGGAAAAAAAATCCAATGTCCTTCTGATCACATTCACACAAACCAAAATTTCTCCTGAGTATTTTTTTTCCCATTCATTCGGAAGTCTGCACAAATTTATGATGCACCTTGTATTTTAAAATAATACTTGAATGCATTAGGCTTCTTTAAGTTTACATATAAAGTCACAAAAAAAGAAGTAAGTGTATTTATTCACAATAGACAATAAAACAGAATTTAAACTTATTTAGGTGCTTCAATGAAAATGTTTTCAATTTTTGAAATTATACAGCAGCTTAAATTCCATTACGAACCCATGACCATTGTAAGAATAATATGTACTATATTATAAGGTGCTTATGAGCAACCATATAAACAGATTTGCTGCTGCCCAGAACATAAATTTTTACTTTGATTCTGATAGCCTTTTTAGTTTAAAAATACTTTTTAAATTTTTTTTAAAGTTAGTTTTAAAAATAAATGGGTGTTATATTATTTTTAAAGGTAATTTCAGAATAAAATAGTTTTAATTACACAGATCCATCAATCCAGCAGAAAGTATTTTGCTGCAAATGTGTGTTATCAATGTTTACATTAAAAAAATAAATAAAATCTATTCAACTTAAATGTTTTGGATTAGGTCCTGCAATTATAAAGATAAAAGAAAACATTTTTATAATAAGTAAATCTGTTTTCAGTTTCATTTACTGGCAATGCAGAAAATGAATTAGATAAGCTTATAAAGTGATTTGAGTTATAGTTTTCTACCTGAACCCATTCTGGTGAGCAGGGAAACTTTTAATTTATTATAAACTTTAATCCAATTCTGTCTTTATATGACAAGTCATTAAAAATGAAATAAAATAAAAAATAGCTTAATAAAAATTTTAGCTAAATATTGTTTTAATTATACAAGCTATACTTAGTGTGCAGAGAAAATAATAGAACAAAAATGTTTCTTCTAAAAAGGTTACACTGAAAAGAATAACAAATGACAATTATTATTGCAGTACAGTACAAAGTCCGTAATCCGGACATCCATTGTATTGAGAATGATCTATAACCCAGAAATCAAAGCCACAACTTTTTTTTTTGTATGCTTTACGTATGCACATAATGCATTTATGCATGCCTGTTTAGCACAAAAAACGAAGCAACTTAAACAACTTGCATTGAAAGAAATGTTTAATAAAGTAAACAAAAAAACATTAACCTTTCTTTTTTTTTCTTTTTTTTTCTTTTTCTTCTTTTTTTTTTTTTTTTTTGTAAATTTCGATACCCTTTAGATTATAACTTCTCTTCATTCACGTAATGCATTTACGCATGTGCGTTTAATGTTTAAGCATGCGCATTTAGCACAAAAAATGAAACAAACAACTTACATTGTAAGAAATGTTTAATAAAGTAAACAACTAAATATTAAGCTCTTTTTCTTTTTTGTAAATTTTGATACCCTTTAAATCACAATTCTCTTTATTTCATAAATTACGGTTTATATTTTTAATTGTATAATTTCTGCATGCCATCTTATTAGATTTAAATTGATGACCTATAATCCGGAAAAACCACAAATCCTTAATCGCCGAAGTCCCGACGAGTCCAGATTACGGACTTCATACTGTATTATGTTTTTGTATCCCACTTTTGAAATATCATCAAGTATTTAGTATAACATGCTAAATAAATAGATAATAATAAAGAAATCTAGGATAAATAAAAAAAAATTAGACCTCCAAGAAGTTTCCATTAGTTTATAAAGAATCAAAGCTAAAATGAAGCCAATAATTATAAATTATCATCAAATAAACTATCAAAACAAATTCTGAAAATGAATTACCTAAAGGGCCAAGACCAGCAAAACCAGGTGCACTTCCTGGAAAACTGGGATAACCAGGACGTGCAAATGGACCTAAAAAAATAAACAAGAATGTTATTCCTTTGTTTTACATGGGGGTAAAAAGTAGCTTATAATTACCCATCAACAATGTATTTTCCAGCAAGGCTGTGCTGCAAAATACAATATGCAAATCAGATAAATATATGCACATTTTTATGAAGTGTTACAGACAATAAATATACTTGTTTCATAAATACCATCACATTTCAGACATATAATGATAAAATAAATTTATATTATTAAATCTATAAATTCTCTAATTTTCACATTAAAAGGGAAGCATACAATTTTGAACAAAAGAAAATGAATTCAATTAAAAAGGATCAGCCGTAAAAAAACAAATTCAGTCACTCAAATAAAATGTAAGCTTACACCTTTTTATATGAGCTTTCAGCATTATAAATATAAGAGACATTTATAGAATGGATGATAATTTCAAAACAAAATGGAAAGCACTGAATTAATGCAATTTTTTAAAATTTTGGGGGAAAGGAGTTAAAAATACCACAAATGAGCTCATAATATATACAAAATAAAATCCTCAGTTTAATAAATTTAGAAATTAAATTAAGATGTGACTAGTGGTTTTAGCATTCTGATCGTAATAGCTACGTTTACAAATTTTACACAAGAATTAAAATTCAGAAGAGAAAACTATGAGCTATTTAGCTTCACCTAGAAAAAGTAATAAATGTGCAGACTGTATGTCTGTGTGTATGTTTTTATAGAAAATTATATTTCTTCATTTCTCAGATGCATCTTATTAGGATGGCATGAAATAAAAATATATGAAGTTTGCACATATAAATTTTTTTCACTTAGCAAATTTAATCATATTAAACAAAGTGTATGTCTATAAAAATTGACTAGTTTAGTAAGTTTTAAATGATAGTCCAAAATTTAATTTTTAGTCTTATTTCCTTTAAAGACTTAATTATTATTATTTTAATATTGTCTGATCAATATTTTGCAGCCTAATTACTGAGCTATAGATATATGCTACAATTTGAAAAATCTCTATTCATCTGACTTGAAGATATATGTTTTAGGGATTTCTTATAGTTTTCAGAAAGAATAGCTAAAAAAGCCTGAACATTAATGTGCTGATTCCACCATTTCATAAAATATTTAAATCAATCAATCAATACATTAGTGTATTCATGTGTATTACAGTCTGCATCTATTCAATGATTACTGAATCCTGTTGTCCAGAAAATTATTGGAACACCAAGGTTATATGCATCATATTATGGAGACTCCTTCTAGAATAAATCAGTTTGACAAGAAATGAAATGAATGTTTCAATGAAGCTTTAACAAAAGTTAAAAATACTAATTTATTTAGTAAATTTACTACAGATCACTGTAAATTTGTAAATTTTCTTTGACACTTTTAATAGTTTCCAAGTTGTTAAATATTTTCAGTCATTTATAGACATGAGGCAGTTTTTTAAACCAATTCATGGAATGCTCAGAAACACATCATTACTATTTTCCATACATTATATGGGCATCTGGTGCAATTTTGTACTTTAAATATTACATTTAAGAATGTATACACTGAAGTATACAATATGATACATCTCTTATAAACTACGCTTCAGAAGCTTTGAACCTTTTATTTACAATATTTAGATATATTTTCCATTAAATGTATCTATTTGTATAAAAATTAGTTGAATTTGTTTTTATTTCCTTACATTTACATGTACATTGCACACACACACACACACACAAAAAAAAAAAAAAAAAAAAAAGAGGGAGAGAGGAGGACAGTTCTATATCTCCCGTTCTACTGGGCCAATTGACGAAATTCAAATTATGTTCTTGATGTCTCGAAAGCGCTACTTAGGATATATATTAGATTTATCTATAGCTCTGTTCTAACATAGTTATTTTTACACATAATTGGACTTTTTCTGAAATAACATACCAATTTTTTTCCCCATATTTCGATTCTACGATTCAAATTATGCCCAAATACAAAATTTTTAAAATTTGGTGCGAAATTTACGGAGAAATTCTGAAATTTATGTTGGTTTTTTTTTTTTTTTCAATTTGCGCTAAGAATAGTTCACCTGGCGAACTTCTTAATGTATGGCAACCTATTTTCCTTTCCCATGAGAGGAAAAAAAAAATCACAATGTTCTTTCTTTCAAATAATGTTTTTTACATTATATTTTTATGTTATTATTTAATTTTTTTTTCTTTTTCAAATTTCATTTTAATTGTTTATGTTGCATGGTTTCTTTCGAGTAACTGTTCTAAAAATTTCTATTTACCCAACCGAAATGCGTAGTTTAAATATAAGGTGCATCGTTTATTTTTTCAGATAGTTTTCTTTACAATTTTTTTTTTTTTTTTGGGTCACAGTTATTATTTTAAGTAATTTTTAAATTTTTAGACTTTTATTTTAATTGTTTGTGTTGCACTATCTCTTCGAAATTTCTATTCATTCATTGGAACTGAGCATTTTAAATATATTTATTAACATAAATTTTCCAGGATTTTACTTTATTTATTTAAATTGTGTTTCTTTCGAAAGAATACTTTGTCCCAGACTACGATGCATCTGAAAACTGAATATATTAAAAAAGGAAATACAGTAAAGCACAGTTAACACGGCTTTCATTGTTCCGTTCAGAAAGCATATATAAATGAGAAAGATGTATAACCGACATTTTAACATAGGATGCTTTAAATAGCTTTAACATTGTGCTCATTGCATTACACAATTTTATCATCCTACATTTAGTTTCTTAAAATGTTATTAATATTTTAGTCAAATGTTTGATTTTTGAAATGGTAAGAATCAAACATCATAAGATTAAAAAGTTTTAAATTAAAAAAAAATACTGAATTTTATGCAAAAATTTATTTTTTCTTCTTAATCGCTTGCTCTTTTTCTTTAGGCATTCTGCAAGCATATTAAAAAGCCTCCAACTTTTTGAAACATCTTAATATTTCTGATATTCATTTTAAATAAAGTTCTCACCTTCCATTTCATAAAGGCCAACAAACAGCCGAGCAGTAAAAGTTGCTGAACACTGGTAGCTCACTCCGGGGTTTGAATCCTGACGAACGGGCTGGTTACATGGGTTTTTCTCTTATTGTAATGTGTATGCCAGCTTATTTCTCTTAGAAATTTCTTCATGAAGTCATCCCTCCTATTAAGCAGATAGCTCTGTTTTGCTGTAGCTTAATAATAATCTAAATCCATTTCATCAGTATTTAGCCACAGCCTTTATCAGTCTTTAGAGGCTAAGCATTTTGAAGGCATGAGATGAAAGGAAAGACCGGTTTCATCAAGAGGGAAAACGTCTTTATGTGACATCCACGTACATCACTGGATAAATTCATGAATATTCAAATAATTTGACTAAGAAATCATGGGATTCTTCGTTTATGATATGATGTTCTATAACGTAATTTAAATTGGTGCAAGCATATAGTCGAAAACCAGTCGCTCTTCACTTTAATCTGCAATTATATCATTTTTGTCTTTTTCGTTAGCACAAGCTCAGTTGATGGTATTTGCTGGTGTACCAAGTGTTTTCTCTTTCAACACCCAAATTCCTTGAAGTATTCTGAAAGTATATTCAAAAGCATCCAACTTTTTGAAACACCTTGCTATTTCTGACAGCCAAATTTCCCTTCAAATTTTTGCTTACTTTTCTACCTAATTTTCTTCTTTCCTTCTACATTTATTTTCACTGCTCACCACAAGAAAAAGATTTTTTGATTTTTACACTTCCATAAATTTTGCATTCTTGTCAATCAAGAACAAAATCAGGGCATTCAACCAGTTCTGAAGAAATATATGTTTTTTTAGGCATACTCATTTGAGAAGGTATAACACTGAAACCTGATATTACACTTTACTGGTCTAAAAATGAATTGATCGAGAACTTCATTTTAGGGAATCTTTTTTTATTATAAAAACATCATTTTTATTACTTTTAATACTTATATCCTTTTATATACTTTTACTCAAAACATTAAATTTTGTGCATTCATTTTTTTTATTTATTATTTTGTGCAAAGTAAACCGTTTTCAGAAAGTAAAACTTGCACTTATTTTGCCCCTAATAAATTGCATAACTACGCACGCCTGTGTGAAAAACCGCGGCACTGGGAAATGAATATTGTACGTTTTCCGCGGCAGTTAAGGGGTTAAAATTGAGAAGCTAAAATTTTAAGAGCTAATTTTTAAAAACTACTCGTACGATTTTTACAAAACTTGGCAGTCTGGCATAATTTAAGTCATAGGAATCGAAATATGGAAAAAAATTGGTATGTTATTTATTGGTATGTTATTATTGGTTAATTGGTAAGTCAGATTTTGTGTTAAACTAGCTATGTTAGAATAGTGCTATATATAAATCTAATATATATCCTAAGTTGCACTTTCAAGACATGAAAAACGCAATTTGAATTTTGTCAATCGGCCCAGTAGAATGGGAGATATAGAACTGTCCCCCCTTTTTTTTCGCAGTGTACCAACTATTATTCCATTTCTTTTAATAAACACTTCTATTTATAAATTTTCCCTGCTTAGGCAGTTCCTAACTTTTAATTCCTGAAGAATTTCTTAAAGGGCTGTACTGCAGTTAAAATCAACGTTTTTAATTGCCAGTAACAGATGTTTGCAAAATTAAACAATAACAGCTTTGTGTTTAGAAAGGCGTTTTTTCTTTTAGTGATCAATTTTAATGGATTTATAGATAATGTTAACTATGGTCAAATATGAAGCTGGATAATACGTAAACTACTGATCAGCAAAGTACAGGAAAATACTTTAAAAAGCTACAGTTTTAAAATTCCATTAATGCTAAGTTATACACTTTGTTTATAGGTATTTCTAAGGAGTGGGAAAATGTAACTGAAAACTGAAGAAATACAATATCTAATTTTCACAAAAATTCCATGTAAGCAGCCCATTTCAAAATCAATTAAAAAAACACACTACAACTAAAAATACTATTTGCAGCACATCTAGAAAATTTTAACAAATTATTATTCGAATAAGACATATACAGGGGCCAAACAAAAATATGGAAACACCTCGTAAAATGCATGTTTGAACTGAAATGTTTATTCTTCCAAAGCTGCTAGGTGGCACTGACGTGTTTGCTCACTAATGCACCTGTACAGCATGCTCAATACATTACAAGTGTCATTCGTTATCGAGAGTGTTCTGTGTAGTTGCGAGACTGGCTTATCCAGGACTGGCTTTCTATGCATGAAGGTAAACTTTCAGATCTACCATGGGCACCAAAACCATCAGATATCAATGTTATTGAGCTTTTGTGAGCTATTTTGGAGAGAAATTTGTGTGAGTGTTATCTACTGCCATCATCACAAACGGAACTTGCTAATGTTCTTGCAAAGTATACAAGACCTCTACTTATTCATTCCGAGAATGCCAAAGATTTTCCTACACCATATTAGTTACAGCAATATGTTTTTATTTCTGTGTATCCATATTTTTGTCCTATCCTTGGAAATGTCACTAGAAGCAATACATGCTCAGTTTACTAAAATCTGAGGAAACAGCTGGTAAGATGATGCAATTAAGTGGAAAATAAAATTTTTCAGATACTGCAGAATTTAAGCAAATAAAATACACCATATATTTAAAAAAAAAAAAGGCAAAATTAAAGTAGCCACTTATTTATTACTTTAGACAACACATATTATAAAAGATTTAATTTTCATAACAAAAGATTATTAATTAATTCCTTCTGAAAAAAAAAAAAGTAACATTTAAAAGTATGCCATACCAAGATGTGCTGGTGTTGGATTTAAGAATGTAGAATGATGAGAAGAGGGTTCAAATGATCGAGGATGTGCAGAAGCTGTAAACAGTATAAGCATATTATTATCAATAAAACAAAATATAATAAATGAAAATAAAAACTTGAGAAGTAAATCTTATGATAGTAACAAGAAAAGCACCACAAGCAAATTAGAGTGATTACTTTCTGCCCACTTAAAATATAAGTATAAAATCATCTTTTTTCATGTACAGGTTTGATTTCAAAATAGCGCTATAAACAGATATTGAAATTTCACTAATAATTGTTTAATTCATTAGGAATAGCAGATTTTTAAAACTGATAATCTGAACAATTTACAAACTGCATTTAATATAAAAAAAAACAGTATGGCACATTATTATTCAAAATATGCTATTGGTTACAAATTTGAATTAATTCACATTCTGTGTGATTAAATACTATAATATTCTATTAATAAACAATACTACATAACAAAAATCTGAATTGTTTTGTAGAATACAATCTATGCATAAACAATATGTCATTGATATGAAAGTAAATAAAGTTTTAAAAAACAGCAATTACTCATTTTTACAATAGATGCTTTTCATAAAAAAGAAAAAAAATTTTAGCAATTTTTGGATGCCATGTTATATTTTAGCATTACAATAAAGATATGTAATCTTTATCTGCTTGTTAGATATTACGTTACAGTCATAAAATAACCATCAGATTAATTTCTTTTATTTAGGCATTATTACGAGGGCAATCCCCAAAAAAAGGTCTCCTATATTTTTAGATATACAAAGAACCGTTTATTTCTATAATTGCTACATCTTAAAGATGAAGAATGGTTATTTTCAACTAATCGCCATTCCCGTCGATGGATTTTTGTAGACGCTGTGGCAGTTTTACAATGCCCATGTCCACCAGCTTGCCGCCATGCCCTTCAGAAGTGTCGAGAGCTTCAGGGCATCGATATCCCCGATCGCGCATTTTACAACGAACTCAAAGAATACGAATCAACAATCGCGAAAGTTGCGGATTTGTCTTGTCGAATTGACGGATCCTTTCTTCTTCATGAATTCAGTACGACCCGCTGTAAATCTCTAATCTCTACACCCGCGCTTTTGAATCCTGCAACTGTCCTACACTTCCGTCAATAGGCGGTGAAATTCAACCGGTTTAACGCCTTTTGCGTTCGAAAATCGAATAACTGCGCACACTTCGCTCTTGGCGGCAACGTTTATCGGGAGCTCCATTTCAAATGGCTGCAAAGCCAGACTGAGCATCAGAGCGAAGCGCCTGCGTGCTTATGTGGTAGCGGAGAAGGCACCACTCCCAACAGTGTTGCCAACAACTGTATTAAAACTTTCTCTACGTCCCCAAAAAATAGGAGACCTTTTTTTTGGGATTTCCCTCGTAATTAATATAGTATGGTTCAGTGTATTAAAAATATGCTCACAATACAAATAAATTTGAGCTTGAGTGCAGTGATCCTGTCTTCTTACATTATTATCTCTAGAGGAAAATTTGTTTTTAATTAAAGAACTTGAAATTTTGTAAAACCTTCAAGAAATACATTTAAAGTTTTCCAATGTATATACTGCCTTACTAGAAATGAATGTTTTACATTATTAACTTGAATGTTAAAAATTAATAGAGTCAAAAGTCTTTAATCCAGACATCCATAATCCGGAATGATCTAATCTGGACTTCAAAGCTACGAACTTTCTGCGCATGCGTAAATGCATAATGAGGTTATGCATGCGCAAAAATATGCATAATACCTTTATGCATGTGCATTTAATGTATAACGGACGGTATAAGCAAAGCTAAAATTATCTAATTATCTATTTTAGTTAATGTTGCAGATTCCGTTGTTCCTTAATCTTAAATGGATCCGGCTTATTATTTTTTGCAGACTGTTAGAGCAATTTTAAAGTAAGCTGAACGATTATGTCAAAAATTTCCATTACCATTCCGAAATCTGTTTATCCTTTTAGCTGCGCGCGGAAGGGGGGGCCTGCGTCAATGATGGATTGGATCTGTCAGCACTATCCTTATCTTCAGGGCAGATGTTTTTATTTTATTCGGCTTATATTCCTTACTAAATGTAGTATTTCATCTCGATGTACTCCGTCTTTGATGGATTTAAATCAAATTCCCTCGTCATTTATAAATATCACGAATACACATCAAATAGTTTTCTGGTTGCAATTTTCTAATTTCGACTATGCGTAAGTATGCTTTACGCATGCGCTTGAAAGAAATGTTTAATAAAGTAAACAAATAAATATTAAGCTTTTTTTTTAAATTTTGATACCCTTTAGATCATAATTGCTCTTTATTTCATAATTACGGTTTTCATATTTTTAATTTTATAATTTCTGCATGCCATCTTACCAGATTCAAACTGATGATCTATAATCCGGAAAAACCTATAATCCGGGATCGCCGAAGTTCCAACGAGTCCGGATTAAAGACTTTTGACTGTAGAACTAAAAGTATACTACATATCCAATCAGTCTCTATAAATTTTTTATGGAGACTATTGCAGGATTTACAAATTTAAATGGTTTATAAAATTAAAAACAAAAAAAAATTGTTTTTAATTATTTATGTTCCATACAAGCATAAAGTAGAAAATGTTTAATTATTTACATTAATTCATTTATTAAAAGGATGTATATGGGAAAATGAAACAACTTTCTCCAAATTTATACCTAATTCAACGAATATGGTTCCCTTTCCTAAACATACAGCCCTTTTCAAAATTTCAAATTCCAAGATGCTTAAATTCTACTCAACAAATCAACAATATTTTTCCCACCTGATTTTTTTATATAGCTTACAACTGAAATACCCATTATAATCTAAAAATATAACTTCAACATTATGAATTCTAATAAAGAAACATGCTTGCACTGACCTGCAGCAGACAGTAAAGAGCTAGAAAAAGGTGAGAGTTCATGTTGTCGTGGCATGGAACAAAAAAGATGATTTGTTGCATGTAAATGATCTGCAGGGGGCTTAACTGCTGCTGCTAAAGCAATACCAGCTTTGTGGGCCTCAGCCTGCTTTTGTTTTTGTTGGTGATTGTAAATTTCCCATGCTATTCGAACATGCATGGCACACCATTTCCCAGGCTTCTGAAAAGAAAAAGAACATAAAATTGAGATATTTTAACTAAGGGAGAAGAATATAAAAGCCCATATATTATTTAAAAGCAATAACTTCATCTTTGGTTGTTGAACGGAATTGATCTACGATAAAGAAGAAACAATTACAAATATACCAGCATACAGATTTCTCAGCAAAGAGAAGGATGATCATATATCTTCTACAACATATTGAAATTATTAGCCTCTCTGACCAAAAGCTGGCTCCGAAAGTCCAAAATTTAAAAAAAAAAAAAAAAAAAAAAAAAAAAAACAGACGACACGAAAAAGTATTTTGCTGATCTTAATATCAAAATGCTCTTACTACTTTATACCCAGACTCTTTTTCTTCTATAGATCATCCTTAATATTTTGGACACACTTCAAGATGCAGATACACATCATTCTTTAGAAGTATGAGTCAACATATTCTTGGATGTATATATACATCCTGGCCAGTTGGAAGGTTAATTGACATTTTACACAACTATAGAATTAAAATTTCATTTAAATCTTACCTTTGGCTGTAATGCTGCAAGATGGGCAGGTGGAACGAAAGGTGTGGATGCCCCTCCACCAGGTGCAAAAAGTGAAGATACGGTAGGATATCCAGAAAGACCGATCTAGAAAAACATAATATGTAAAATAATTTTTAAGTATATAATAGATCAACAGCAGTTTGTTTGATAAAATTTTTATCTCTTAATTTATTATTATTTTCTTCAAATAATATTCCTAATTCAAAACATGCAAGCCTCGCTGACATGTTTCAAACTATAAGAAATAAATTCTAAATTATGGAAACTTAACAGTTAAATCAAAATTATTTATAGTTTTTTAATTCTGATAAATCAGTAAAAATTTTTAATATAGTACAATAATTTCCATTTTTAAGTCATACATTAATACATAAAATTGAGCTACTTCCCCCCTCCCTCTGCTCCCCTTGTTAACATTATTTTTTTTGATAAACTTATTTCAATCTACAGGAATGTGTTCATACTCAAATTCTTCTATGCAACACTAACAAATTTTTGCTAATAAGTGCGAAGAATTATGAATTTATGTATTGAGCAAAAACAGTAGCTGAAAACAGAAGAAACAACATCAACTGACACTGATTTAAGATACGTTAAAAATTTCAGCAAAGAGCAAGTTAATTAATGTTGTTTTAAAAATATAATTTGCATACATCATTACTCATACTGAAGGATACAAAGACTAAGATATTTAATCTTCTGCTTTCAAGACGTTACACAATAATTTCAAACCACACTACAGTAACATTTCTGTGGACAAGCCCCCTATATAAAGTTGAATTCTATTTTTATTTAAAGGTGAATTCCTCTTACATTACACTTTTAATAAGCTTCATAAAATTATAATGCAGCATTTTGAAGATTTCTGAATAAAAGCTATATAACAGCAACTAAGATGAAATAATAGATCTTTGCATACGCTCGATAAAAGAATTGATTTATTTAAAATAATTTATTTTGTAAAATTGCTTTTAAATTTGATTTATCTTTGCAATAATAAGTATTTGTCACAATTAAAACATTTAGAAACAAGTGCCAAGTCTTAGAAGAGTATTTAGCTTTAAAGTAGCTGTATTACTAAAAATAGCTTGTAACCATTACCCCTTTCTGAGGTTAAAAAAATATACTCTTATGTACATAAACATACAACAAACAAATTCTTCTGTTTAAGATCATTGCTTTCACATCTAGAAAAGTAGGTGCTACATGGCAAACTTTGCCTAATCTAGTGCATATTGTGCGTGATTTTAAGAAAGTATCAGTTGAGGAATTCAAGTCCTGTTGGCAACATTATTTATGCATTTCCTTGATAACTCCAAAATGTTTGAACTTGATTTATTGCTTACAATTTCTTTAACTTAATATGGTTGACACCCCCCCACCAAAAAAAAAGAAAGAGTTACGGTTTGTCAACATTTTAAACAACTAATCATGAATTTTGTGCAAAAAAAACTTTATTGTTCATCAACTTTCTAAACAACTAATCATGAATCTTGTCCTTCATGACCCAAAGGACTTACATGCTTTTTCATCTACTATCTGAAACATATCCTTGAAACTTTTGATGTTCAGAACAGTCTAAGATTTGAGCTCAGCTTCATAAGTAGTGGATTTGAATTTTTCTACAGAGACATAATCGAGATGATAGTAAAAATGCTAGATCAGATAACAAAAGGATATTATTAGTGTTAACCAGCGGCCGAGACGTAAAGTCGCTGAACACTGGTGGTTCGGTCCGAGGTTCAAATCCCACGAACGGGCAGGCTGCATGGGCGTTTTCGTGGTTTTCCCCATGTGTAAACATGTATACGAGTCAGTTTCCCTTAGAAAGTCCTCCACGAAAGGCATCCCTCCTCTTAGGCAGATAGCCCTCGTGTGCTTTGCCATAACTCAACTCAACAACATTATTAGTGTTATCAGTAAATGTAGTGAAATAAAGCCCAATTAATAGAATATTTCACCTGCAGCACTTGATGTAGATACAAAAGAGAAGATTCAAGAACAGCACTTGATGTAGATACAAAAAAGCTTGGCATGAAACTTGATAGTGTAAAGAATATCAGAATCCAAATTAATGAACTAAAAGGGGAGGAACATTATGACACAATACAGTATAAAGATCTTTTGAAGAATGAAAAGCTTTCTTCAAAATGGAAGTCTAATGCATGTAACAACTATTAAACATTAGTCCAGTGAGATAATTTCCTTTAATGCAAATTAAAACAAAACTTTGCAATATTCTAGAAAGGCTAATGCAAATTTGAAAGCTCAAAAGCTCTTAATCTGTCTGCACAGCTTAACAAGTCCGAACTATTTATTTATATAATTTTTAACATTAACAATTCTTCCAAATATTAGTTAATATTAAACATTATATAAAACATTTTTAGGTTTACATATGCATGGGAAGGATGAAACATGATGTCTGAACAATTGAGGAGAAGGTAGATAAGCTAATTTCCTCTGATGAGTTGGCATAGTCTCACGGACTTTTCAGTTGTTCATTTTTCTAAAATTAACTAAAATGTTTACTCATTTTTAATGTAATTTTAATAGTATTTGCTTTAATTGCTCTTGCTTAACAGACAGGAGATTACCTTTGCCTAATTTACTTCCCTTTTTGATTGTTTTAAATTCAATTATTTTAATCATTCTAATTATAAATTTTATTAAATTTTGACCTTTATTGGAGTTGGTACATAAAGTGCATAGTTTATCAGGTTTAAGTTTTGATTTCAATTTTAATTCTTATCTTTTTTGGATAAATGTGCACAATTTCTTGAGAATTATATTTATTTATAATTTCATTACTTCGTTTATAACTTAAATAACATTTATACTAAAAGTATTAAGAATTCTTTAGGTTCCTCTCTTTAATATTGCTCAGAAAAATCAACTTTCTAGTTTCTAAATGTTTAAGTGTGTATGTTACTCAAATCGATTTTTATAAAATCACCAATTTTTATTTTCACATATATCCGACTAGTTTGGCAGATACTTAATCAATCATAATTAAATATGATAAATTTCTATTTACATTGTTTTTTAAAAGAAATGATGTAGGCATTTGAGATGTGAAGCAGCAAAGCATCTTGCCAAGAGGAAAGCTTAAGTGAAAGTGGATGCTGCAATTCAAATGAAGTAGGGAGGGAGTCAAAAAGTTTCAGTTCCGAGTTAAAAAGTTTTGATTCACAATTACTTTGATTGGACAAGAGGTATTTGCATTATGCGTTATGCCGGATCACATGATTAATTTGAATGATGCAGTTTAGACTTATAGCGCTATTTTTAAGACAGAGAGAGGAAGTTGCCAAATTAAATAAAAAATAAAAGAGGTTATAGCCAATTAAAATTAGAAGTTTTGCTTTCACATTTTTTTATCTTGCATACATATATTACTAAAGCCATAAATCTGGAGTTGATATTGAAGCTAACCTCTAAATCTTTAAGTGCTATTCTTGAGAAAGAAGTGAGGATGAGAAAAGTGCAAAGATATTCTCCGATAATTCTAGTAATTTCACTGCAGCCCCATTCTGAGATTAAATGTTTGTATAATTTGATTAGTATAATCTAATTAGTACTTAGCAAATTACTCTTTAGAATAAATATTTTGAGTGTTCCTTCCTCCTTTAGCTCCTTTGGGGAAACTGGAGTAAATATTTTTAAATATCATTTGAAAAAATGCACTACACACACAAAATTTTCATACATAAACATCCTCACTATCACACAAACTGAAGGAATCCTAAATTCTCGAATCAATTCAACTTTGTCCTCTGATATTAACAACTTGGAACCTTTAATATCAGGCCATATTTTGGTTGGTAAGTCTATATTAGTATTAGCAGAAACCAAACTTATTACTAAGTGAGATAATATCCTTTTGACATGCACCTACCTACAAAAGTAATATAAAGTATTTGGAAGCATTAGCCTCGTCTTACATCATTATACGAGACCAATTAATCTTCTAAATAAAGAATTAAAGAGGAAAATTCTTCTTTTGTATTATGTGGATTGAATAGAAGTCGGCACAAGTAATCAGCTCGATAAAACAAAGACGGACTGTCAAAAAAAAAAAAAAAAAAAAAAAAAAATGGGACAGTCCTATATCTCCCGATCTACTGGGCCGATTGACAAAATTCAAATTGCGTTCTTCATGTCTCGAAAGCGCGACTTAGGATATATATTAGATTTATATATAGCACTATTCTAACATAGGTATTTTGACACAAAATCGGACTTTTTCTGAAATAACATACCAATTTTTTTACATATTTCGATTCTACGACTCAAATTACGCCTAAATATGAAATTTTGTAAAATTTGGAGCGAAATTTACGGAGAAATTCACAAATTTATGTTGGCACTTTTTTTTGTCAGTTTGCGCCAAGAATACTTTCACTTGGCGAACTTCTTAATATATGGCAACCTAGTTTCCTTTCCCGTGAGAGGAAAAAAAGTCACCATCGTTCCTTTTTTCCAAATAATATTCTTTATATTATATTTTTTAATTATAACTTATTATTTTAAGTAATTTTTTCTTTTTCGAATTTCATTTTAATTGTTTAAGTTGCATGGTTTTTTTTTTTTTTTCGAATAACTGTTTTAAAAAATTTCTATTTACCTATTCGAACTGCGTAAATAAAGGTGCAGCGTTTATTTTTTTTTTTTTCAAATAGTTTTCTTTATATATATTTTTTGTCATAGTTATTATTTTAGGTAATTTTTAAATTTTTATACTTTTATTTTAATTGTTTGTGTTGCATTGTCTCTTCAGATAATTGTTTTAAAATTTTCTATTTATTCCTTCGAACTGAGCATTTTAAATATATTTATTAATATAAATTTTCCAGAATTTGATTTTATTTATTTGAATTGCGTTTCTTTCGGAAGAATACTTTGTAACCCAGACTACGATGCGTTTGAAAACTGCATACTATATTAAAAGAGAAAATACAGTAAAGCACAGTTTTAACACGCCTTTCAATGTTCCGTTCAGAAAAAATATATATAAATAAGAGAGATGTATAACCGACATTTTAACTTAGGATGACTTGCATACACTGCTTTAAACAGTTTTA